ATCGAGGATACTGTGAGAGAGAAAGAAATTGTAATCCCTGGAGTATCTAGGATATAGAGAGAGTAAGTGATTGTATCCCCTGGAGTGTCATTGAAACAGAGAGGGAAAGTAATGGTAAACCCTGGAGTATCAGGGAAAGAGAGAGTGACAGTGATTGTAACTCCTTGGGTATCGACGATACAGAGAGAAAAAGTGATTGTTACCCCTGGAATATCGAGGATACAGAGAGAGAAAGTGATTGTAACCCCTGGAGTATCGAGGATACAGACAGATGAAAAGATTGTAACCGCTGGAGTATGGAGTATACAGAGAGAGAAAGTGATTGTAATCCCAAGAGTATGGAGGATACAGAGAGTGAAAGTAATTTGAACTCCTGGAGTATCCCGGATATATAGAGAGAAAGTGATTGTAACCCCTGGGGTATCGAGTATACAGAGAGAGAAAGTGATTGTAACCCCTGGATTATCGAGGATACAGAGAGAGAAAGTGGTTGAAACCCCTGCAGTAACGAGTATATATATATATATATATATATAGAGAGAGAGAGAGAGAGAGTGATTGTAACCCCTGCGGTATCGAGGATACAGATAGAAAAAGTGATAGTAAACACTGGAGTATCGAGTATACAGAGAGAGAAAGTGATCGTAACCTCTAAAGTATCGAGGATACAGAGAAAGTGATTGTAAACCCTGGATTATCGAGGATACAGAGAAAGTGATTGTAACCCCTGCAGTATCGAGGATACAGAGGGAGAGAGAGAGAGTGATTGTAACCCCTGGGGTATCAGGGACACAGAGAGAGACAGTGATTGTAACCATTTGGGTATCGAGGATACAGAGAGAAAAAGTGATTGTAACCCCTGGATTATCGAGGATACAGAGAGAGAAAGTGATTGTAACCCCTGCAGTACCGAGGATACAGAGAGAGATAGAGAGAGAGTGATTGTAACCCCTGGGGTATCGAGGATACAGAGAGAGAAAGTGATAGTAAACACTGAAGTATCGAGGATACTGTGAGAGAGAAAGAAATTGTAATCCCTGGAGTATCTAGGATATAGAGAGAGTAAGTGATTGTATCCCCTGGAGTGTCATTGAAACAGAGAGGGAAAGTAATGGTAAACCCTGGAGTATCAGGGAAAGAGAGAGTGACAGTGATTGTAACTCCTTGGGTATCGACGATACAGAGAGAAAAAGTGATTGTTACCCCTGGAATATCGAGGATACAGAGAGAGAAAGTGATTGTAACCCCTGGAGTATCGAGGATACAGACAGATGAAAAGATTGTAACCGCTGGAGTATGGAGTATACAGAGAGAGAAAGTGATTGTAATCCCAGGAGTATGGAGGATACAGAGAGTGAAAGTAATTTGAACTCCTGGAGTATCCCGGATATATAGAGAGAAAGTGATTGTAACCCCTGGGGTATCGAGTATACAGAGAGAGAAAGTGATTGTAACCCCTGGATTATCGTGAAACATCGAGGATACAGAGAGAGAAAGTGGTTGAAACCCCTGCAGTAACGAGTATATATATATATATATATATATAGAGAGAGAGAGAGAGAGAGAGAGAGAGTGATTGTAACCCCTGCGGTATCGAGGATACAGATAGAAAAAGTGATAGTAAACACTGGAGTATCGAGTATACAGAGAGAGAAAGTGATCGTAACCTCTAAAGTATCGAGGATACAGAGAAAGTGATTGTAAACCCTGGATTATCGAGGATACAGAGAGAGAAAGTGATTGTAACCCCTGCAGTATCGAGGATACAGAGGGAGAGAGAGAGAGTGATTGTAACCCCTGGGGTATCAGGGACACAGAGAGAGACAGTGATTGTAACCATTTGGGTATCGAGGATACAGAGAGAAAAAGTGATTGTAACCCCTGGATTATCTGGATTATCGAGGATACAGAGAGAGAAAGTGATTGTAACCCCTGCAGTACCGAGGATACAGAGGGAGAGAGAGAGAGTGATTGTAACCCCTGGGGTATCGAGGATACAGAGAGAGAAAGTGATAGTAAACACTGAAGTATCGAGGATACTGTGAGAGAGAAAGAAATTGTAATCCCTGGAGTATCTAGGATATAGAGAGAGTAAGTGATTGTATCCCCTGGAGTGTCATTGAAACAGAGAGGGAAAGTAATGGTAAACCCTGGAGTATCAGGGAAAGAGAGAGTGACAGTGATTGTAACTCCTTGGGTATCGACGATACAGAGAGAAAAAGTGATTGTTACCCCTGGAATATCGAGGATACAGAGAGAGAAAGTGATTGTAACCCCTGGAGTATCGAGGATACAGACAGATGAAAAGATTGTAACCGCTGGAGTATGGAGTATACAGAGAGAGAAAGTGATTGTAATCCCAAGAGTATGGAGGATACTCATAAGTTGTAAGAGCCAACCACCCCCTTTTTGTGAGGGTTATCTTTCCTGTCACGCCAGGTGGCGTTATTCTAGAATGGCGACAACCTGTCAAGTGAGAAGTTGGATAGTAACTGCAGCTCGTATAAAACGTTTTGTGGAAGTGCAGTGTCATTGACAGATATCGTATAGTCATTAGATAGAGTTTGGGTAACATTTTCATTATCGGGCTGGCTTTTATCTACTAAGCTTAACGTAGCTTCGAGGCGAATTCACGAATGCATTGTTTACAACCACCTGTATCCTATCTGAAAGGGCTCATCGGAAATGGTTGGCCCGTGCTAATGAATTGAGTTTGCAAACACAAATAAAAACGTAAGTTTTTAGTATTTGTACATAATCACTTATGTGTTACACCGAAAATTATGCCATTAACTTACAGGTTCTGAACCATCCGTATATGGAATTTGTCACTAAACTTGTGGCAATTCGTTTCATCAGCGCTCACCAGGTCAACAGTTGGGTCTCTGCTGCTGGTTTTGGAGTGAAATCTATTAGTTCCGTACGACTAGGATCAGATGCATTGGATGGGACAGCTAGACTGGTTTGCTTTGGTTATGGGTAAAAGGGATTTCATGGAATGCTTTTGAAGAAAACTACAAAATTATCTACTTTTATTCTGACGGAAATCGTACACACCAGTTTACCATATAAGCAAACATGATACTCAATTTGAGGAAATTCTTTAAAGATGTAGATAGATCGCTTTACAAACATTTATGTGTCATAACAGGCTTGTGTTGCTATTAGCTGAACAAAATGAAGTCTATTAATAACAAAATCAACAGAAAATAAGCCTAATGAAGTATGAAGATTGTAACCCTGGCAGAAAATTTTAGTGATATGCTTATGTATTTACCCAGTACTCTGCATAAATTCTAAGATCCAGTGACATTTCAGTTGGACTGTTTGGCTAGAAGTGTTCCCACCAATTTCACCTGTCCAAACTGACCATAGGAGAGAGATTGTGATACTGACAATATCATTAGAATGAGTTCTTTAAAAGGTAACAGAAATTTTGCAACTTGGACAGAATATCCATTTCTGAGACAAACTTATATAATGTATGCTGAAATGCTCCCGTAAGGCTGTAGAAATGGATGTAAAACCTGACCTAAAAGTCATGGAACAATGTCAACCCTTAGTCCTAATAGTTCATACTACCGTGATTGCGAATTTCTTTCATTTATCTGAGCAATTACAACAAAAACAAAAGTGAAACCATTATTGTTCCTTTTGCCAATGGCTTGTAGATACCATTGAGTTTATTGGAGATTTTTAACACAGGCAACAAAGTTACCAGGATAGGAGTACTATTTCTTCTAGATGCATTGTGTAGATTGTGCAAGTGTGTATTTTTGGAAATATAACTCCATCCTCAATATATTGGCCTATATGTAACTGTTTGCTGGTTGTTTGATATGTCATGATGTCGGAGAAGGTCTTTTATGTAAAAATGAACATATTCATTTTTAGCTCACCTGGCCCAAAGGGCCAAGTGAGCTTATGCCATAGCATGGCATTCGTCCATCACCTGTCCGTCCTGCATTTAAACAACTTCTTCTGAAATACCGAAAGGTGTAGAGTTATCATATTTGACTGGAAGGTTCCTTTGATGAAGCCCAACGAAGTTGGCGAAAAGAAATTAAATATTACAGGGCATCATTGAGAACCTATTTTAGAATAATATCACTATCCTAGATGTTTTGGATAATCAGAAAATGTCATTTAAAGGTTTAACACATTTGACCCCTGTGACCTTGACTATATATTGCTATTTCTTGAGAATAACTGTATAGATCTTTCACAGATTTTCATGTATAGGTTCCCCATGGTCCCTAGTTGTGGCTGTTTGAACTTGTGTCTGATCAGAAAAACAAAGTGGATGACAGGTGACCATCTTGGATTTTGTTTTCAATGAAATTTGTTATCGCTCTTACTTGAAAAGTCCTAGATGGATCTCTCTTAAATTGCATATGTAGGTTTCCCATGGTCTCTTGTTGTGCCTGTTTTATTTTGGGACTGATCAAAAAAACAAATGGCCATCTTAGATTTGGACTTTGAAAATCTGTTATCACTATTTCGTAAGAAGTACTGTATAGATCTTTCTCTAATTTCATGTGTTCTTTCCTTCTTGTCCCTAGTTGAGTTTGAGTTTTGGACTGATCAGAAAAACAAAATGGCAGAAAGGCAGCCATCTTGAATTTTGCCTAGTAAATATTGTTATCCCTATTTCTTAATAAGTACTGAATGGATATCACATTTCATACATATGTTACCTGTGGCCTCTTTTTTTGCCTGTTTGATTTGGGAATTGATCAGAAGAAGCCATTTTAGATTTGGCAGGTTAAGATTATCATCGCAATTTCTGCAAAGGAATGTTCAAGTGTCTTATAATTGAGAGCTAAAACAGAGATGAGAAGAGAAAAGAAAGGAAAAGATCCAACTTTCAAAGAGCAAATAAAGATCAAATAATGTTGGACACCAAGATCCCTCTGGGATCTCTTGTGATAACATATAAGTTGTCTTAGATTCTGATCAAGGGAAGGCTATATTTGGCTAAAATGATTTAATGTTTCAAATGAAAATGATACAATAAATATAGATCTTCTCTAGGGATTGTATTAAATTCTGATTAAGGATAGGCCATATTTGGCTAAAATGATTAATATGTTTCAATTGAAAATAGAAATTTGCTATGTTATTACTTTATTGTTAAAGTATTTTTTTTGTATAATCTGTTAACATGATATGTCAATAGAGTTAGGGTTTTCTGTTCAGTATTTATCACTTTGAGTTAGTAAGCTTATTTTCTTCTATGTGTTTAAATAATTGTGAAATACATCTTAATATAATCTGCACTGAAAAAAGACCTGATTCCTAAGTGTTTTTTCTTTTGTATCAACAGGGTATCATATACAGAATTGGCCTAGCTCTGTCTTATCAACAAAGTAAATGTGTGTCTGTCGAACACCCTGAACAGAATGATGGAATGGAGAGTAGTCAGATGTAACTTGTAAACCACAGGAGAGAAATATGTATGACTTTCCACCTGACTAAAGATTAAGGTGTCACCAAGATTTTCAGGTCATTATCAAGGTGATTATGTCAATAACTGCTTAAATAGGTTTATTCTGCAGCTGGTGCTGCCATTGTTGGAATACATCTATTGCATTGTGTTTCGTCTGTCGCCAAACATAAACTTTCCATTCAAATAATATCTTCTCAATATCAGGATGCAAATATTGGACCTTTGGCTTGCTGGGATGTAGGGCTACGAAATCTGTTAATATGAATGACCTTGACCTGCTTTCAAGGTCACAGGTGTTAAATATGTCAAAATCTTGAAAAGATTTCTCTAAAACCAAAAGGACAAGGGTACTGATATTTGACCTGTGGCATGCTAGAAGGTAGGGCTGTATATCTGCCAGTGATCTGTTTTTGATCTGTCAGTGATCTGTTATTGATCTGTCAGTGATCTGTTATTGATCTGTCAGTGATCTGTTTTTGATCTGTCAGTGATCTGTCAGTGATCTGTTATTGATCTGTCAGTGATCTGTTTTTGATCTGTCACTGATCTGTTATTGATCTGTCAGTGATATGTTATTGATCTGTCGGTGATCTGTTTTTGATCTGTCATTGATCTGTTATCGATCTGTCAGAATCTGTCAGTGTTCTGTTATCGATCTGTCAGTAATCTGTTATCGATCTATCAGTGATCTGTCATTGATCTGTTATTGATCTGTCAGTGATCTGTTTTTGATCTGTCAGGGATCTGTTATAAATCTGTCAATAATCTGTTATTGATCTGTCAGTAATCTGTTATCAATCTATCAGTGATCTGTTATGGATCTGTCAGTGATCTGTTATTGATCTGTCAGTGATCTGTTATTGATCTGTCAATGATCTTTTATTGATCTGTCAGTGATCTGTTGTTTGTATGTCAATAATCTGTTAATGATCTGTCAATGATCTGTTATTGATCTGTCAATGATCTGTTATTGATCTGTCAATGATCTGTTATGGATCTGTCAGTAATCTGTTATTGATCTGCCAGTTATCTGTTATTGATCTGTCAGTGATCTGTTGTTTGTATGTCAATGATCTGTTATGGATCTGTCAGTAATCTGTTATCAATCTGCCGGTTATCTGTTATTGATCTGTCAGTGATCTGTTGTTTGTATGTCAATGATCTGTTATGGATCTGTCAGTGATCTCTTGTTTGTATGTCAATAATCTGTTAATGATCTGTCAATGATCTGTTATTGATCTGTCAATGATCTGTTATTGATCTGTCAGTGATCTGTTATTGATATGTCAGTAATCTGTTATTGATCTGTCAATGATCTGTTATTAATCTGTCAGTGATCTGTTATTGATCTGTCAATGATCTGTTATTGATCTGTCAATGATCTGTTATTGATCTGTCAGTGATCTGTTGTTTGTATGTCAATAATCTGTTATTGATCTGTCAGTGATCTGTTGTTTGTATGTCAATAATCTGTTATTGATCTGTCAATGATCTGTTATTGATCTGTCAGTGATCTATTATTGATCTTTTAATGATCTGTTATCGATCTGTCAGTGATCTGTTATGGATCTGTCAGTGATCTGTTGTTTGTATGTCAATAATCTGTTATTGATCTGTCGGTGATCTGTTGTTTGTATGTCAATAATCTGTTATTGAACTGTCAATGATCTGTTATTAATCTGTCAGTGATCTGTTATTGATCTGTCAATGATCTGTTATTGATCTGTCAATGATCTGTTATTGATATGTCAGTAATCTGTTATTGATCTGTCAATGATCTGTTATTAATCTGTCAGTGATCTGTTATTGATCTGTCAATGATCTGTTATTGATCTGTTATCAATCTGCCAGTTATCTGTTATTGATCTGTCAGTGATCTGTTGTTTGTATGTCAATAATCTGTTATTGATCTGTCAGTGATCTGTTATTGATCTGTCAGTGATCTGTTATTGATCTGTTATCAATCTGCCGGTTATCTGTTATTGATCTGTCAGTGATCTGTTGTTTGTATGTCAATAATCTGTTATTGATCTGTCAGTGATCTGTTGTTTGTATGTCAATAATCTGTTATTGATCTGTCAATGCTTTGTTATTAATCTGTCAGTGATCTGTTATTGATCTGTCAATGATCTGTTATTGATATGTCAGTAATCTGTTATTGATCTGTCAATGATCTGTTATTAATCTGTCAGTGATCTGTTATTGATCTGTCAATGATCTGTTATTGATCTGTTATCAATCTGCCAGTTATCTGTTATTGATCTGTCAGTGATCTGTTGTTTGTATGTCAATAATCTGTTATCAATCTGCTGGTTATCTGTTATTGATCTGTCAGTGATCTGTTGTTTGTATGTCAATAATCTGTTATTGATCTGTCAGTGATCTGTTGTTTGTATGTCAATAATCTGTTATTGATCTGTCAATGATCTGTTATTGATCTGTCAGTGATCTGTAATTGATCTGTCAGTGATCTGTTATTGATCTTTTAATGATCTGTTATCGATCTGTCAGTGATCTGTTATGGATCTGTCAGTGATCTGTTGTTTGTATGTCAATAATCTGTTATCAATCTGCTGGTTATCTGTTATTGATCTGTCAGTGATCTGTTGTTTGTATGTCAATAATCTGTTATTGATCTGTCAGTGATCTGTTGTTTGTATGTCAATAATCTGTTATTGATCTGTCAATGATCTGTTATTGATCTGTCAGTGATCTGTTTGTATGTTAATAATCTGTTATTGATCTGTCAGTGATCTGTTGTTTGTATGTCAATAATCGGTTATTGATCTGTCAATGATCTGTAATTGATCTGTCAGTGATCTGTTATTGATCTTTTAATGATCTGTTATCGATCTGTCAGTGATCTGTTGTTTGTATGTCAATAATCTGTTATTGATCTGTCGGTGATCTGTTGTTTGTATGTCAATAATCTGTTATTGATCTGTCGGTGATCTGTTGTTTGTATGTCAATAATCTGTTATTGATCTGTCAATGATCTGTTATTGATCTGTCAGTAATCTGTTATTGATCTGTCAATGATCTGTTATTGATCTGTTATCAATCTGCCAGTTATCTGTTATTGATCTGTCAGTGATCTGTTGTTTGTATGTCAGTAATCTGTTATCAATCTGCTGGTTATCTGTTATTGATCTGTCAGTGATCTGTTGTTTGTATGTCAATAATCTGTAATTGATCTGTCAGTGATCTGTTGTTTGTATGTCAATAATCTGTTATTGATCTGTCAATGATCTGTTATTGATCTGTCAGTGATCTGTTTGTATGTTAATAATCTGTTATTGATCTGTCAGTGATCTGTTGTTTGTATGTCAATAATCTGTTATTGATCTGTCAATGATCTGTAATTGATCTGTCAGTGATCTGTTATTGATCTTTTAATGATCTGTTATCGATCTGTCAGTGATCTGTTATGGATCTGTCAGTGATCTGTTGTTTGTATGTCAATAATCTGTTATTGATCTGTCGGTGATCTGTTGTTTGTATGTCAATAATCTGTTATTGATCTGTCGGTGATCTGTTGTTTGTATGTCAATAATCTGTTATTGATCTGTCAATGATCTGTTATTGATCTGTCAGTGATCTGTTGTTTGTATGTCAATAATCTGTTATTGATCTGTCAGTGATCTGTTGTTTGTATGTCAATAATCTGTTATTGATCTGTCAATGATCTGTTATTGATCTGTCAATGATCTGTTATTGATCTTTTAATGATCTGTTATCGATATGTCAGTGATCTGTTATGGATCTGTCAGTGATCTGTTGTTTGTATGTCAATAATCTGTTATTGATCTGTCAGTGATCTGTTGTTTGTATGTCAATAATCTGTTATTGATCTGTCGGTGATCTGTTGTTTGTATGTCAATAATCTGTTATTGATATATCATTGATTCATTGTTAAATATTGTCAGTCAGTCACCTCTTTGTTTATTTTAGATGAAGCCAGAAGTGTCTGATTATGTGGACCAGTATGTCCGAGCAGTTTATGATTTCAGCTCAACCCAGAGAGGGGAGGTAACCCTCACCAAAGGGGAGATAATTCGAGTGTCATCAGTGATTGACAGTAATTGGCTTAAAGGGAAAAAAGGGAACAAGGAGGGGAATTTCCCTGTGAGTTTTGTGGAGAAAGTTTCCCTTCCTGCTGTACAACTAGGACAGAAAGTGTTTGGGGCTACAGAAAATTTCCCCTCACAACAGGAAGGTGACCTGCATTTCACAAAAGGTATACATGTAGCTCTTTTGTAAGCCTAGTGGAAGAGAGAGATCAAAGTTTAATTATTTCTTTGCTGAAATAGCATTCTTATGATATTAAAAATACAATGAATTGTCAGTTTAACAGAAATTCATACACACATGTTTGTCTAAATCCCCATTAATCCCAGCATGTTGAGGCAGAAGAATCAAGATTCATGTTCAGATCATTCACACTGACCCACTCCATTCATTAAATTACTTAAAAGTTATGTAATTATTGTACTGAATCATTTCATCACAAATGACTGTGTATTGTTATAAATAACGATATATTATTATAGATAAATATGTATTGTTATAAATCAAATTATTGTCCATCATTTCATACCACAGACAAAGAATTTATTTATTTTTAGCTCACCTGTTCAGAAGGACTGGTAAGCTCATGCAATCTGCGTATGTGTGTCGTTCAGTGTCTGTTGTCAGGGGTCAACCAACGTTTTACTAAAAATCGTCATGAATGATGGAACAGGTTTTGACCAAGCATCACTGACAAGTCCTTGAAGGATGAAACAGTAAAATGATGCTAAATATGTATTAAAAGGCTCTATTCTTTTGTATGTTTTTAGCCCACCATCTATCTAATAGATAGGCAGCCATCTTGGATTTTGGAAGTAAAAGTTTGTTACTGCTATTTCTTGGAAAGTACTGGATGGATCTTTCTCAAATTTCATATTCAGGTTCCCCTTGGTCCCTAGTTGTGCATTGTACCTTTTTTGGACTGATTCGAATTCAAGATGGCAGACAGGTGGCCATCTTGGATTTTGAATGTAAAAGTTTGTTACCACTATTTCTTGGAAAGTACTGGATGGGTCTTTCTCAAATTTCATATGCAGGTTCCCTTTGGTTCCAAGTTGTGCATTATACCTTTTTGGACTGATCCGAAATCAAGATGGCTGACAGGCAGCCATCTTGGATTTTGAGAGTAAAATCTTGTTACTGCTATATCTGTGGAAGTACTGGATGGATCCTTCTGATATTTCATAGATATTGGTTTCCCCTGGTCCCTAGTTGTGCATTGTACCTTTTTTGGACTGATTTGAAATCAAGGTGGCCCACAGGCAGCCATCTTGGATATCGACAGTAATACAGTACAAGCATATTGTCCATTATCCACCTGTAACTGACTGCTATCTAATAACACTTTGGGATCTTTTTCAAATGATATTTGCTAATAGGTGCTTAATAAAAATATCTTGTGCCATCATTGAGTATATTCAATGAAGACCAGTTCATGAACATTTACAACACCTGTAACAAACAAAAAAAAAATAAACAAATCTTCAAGAACTGAAAACAGATCCTCAAATGATGGGTGCCAAGATCCCTCTGGGATCTCTTGTTTGTACAATCTTCCTTGATATTTCAGGTGCAGTGGTGGTTGGTTTACGTCGTATAGACGACAATTGGTGGGAGGGTAAATCTGGAGTTTATCATGGAATTTTCCCATTGACACATGTAATGGAATTAGAGGTGCCATCCTGTCTTCGGGAGAGATCCAAGAGTGTACATTCATCTGAGCCTATGTTTGCCAGGGCCATGAGGGACTCAAAAGCCCAGCTGGACGGAGAGCTAGGGTTCCAGGTTGGGGATATGATCACCATCACTGAGGTAGTTGATGAAGACTGGTACATTGGAGAACTTAGTGGCCGTACGGGGATGTTTCTGGCGTCTTGTGTGGAGCTATTACAAGACACCCATAACCAGGACAGTCAAGATGACCATGGACAAATAGACACGCACCAGGTCTCCTCCAGTCTAGTGGAGATAAACAATACACAGAGTGTATCTTATCACACCAGTACCTCCAGTGATGCAAACTCTACTCATCAAACTTCAGACTCTGTGTCAGATGTGGCCCTGTGTTCACGTTCAACCTCACACAACGCTGACATCACACCATACGCTCGCACCCTTTATCCCTTTGTTGGTCAATCTGAAGATGAATTAACGTTTCATGGAAATGAGATGGTGTATCTCATACAACATGTAGATGATCAGTGGATTGAAGGAGAATTGGACGGCAAATCTGGACTATTTCCGGCATCCTTTGTGTCTATAATTGTTGATTGCCCTTATGTATCTGATTCAGTACCTGCAAACATATCATCTGTTAACCAAACAATGTCAGAGGACAGTACAGGACCACTACTTAAGGCTAGTAGTGTTAGTATTAATGAAGTGACTAAGTTTAGTAATACTGATTCAAGTGTCGGCTGTTATGGGCTGGTCAAGTTCACATTTGTTGGAGAAAATAGTGGAGATCTCAGTGTCATGGAGGGAGACACTATCCATATTATAAGATTTATAGATGATAATTGGGTTATGGCCCAAGATGACAGAGGCAAGGAAGGGATCTGTCCAAAAAACTTTGTAGAGATATTTAAGGAAAGTCCAGATATCCCGCCACAAGGAAACTCAGAGCAAATCAAGCGAGATGTTGGTGAAGATACATCTAAACATTATGAAATATCAAAAATAAAAAATATTGATAGATCAAAACCACCAATGAAACCCTTGGTGTCCCCAAAGCCGACTCTGAAACCCAAACCTGCATTACTTCCGAAACCTTCACTAAAGCCTATGGGTCCGTTAAAGGCTACCCTTTCACCATCACAAACTTTGGATGGCAGTATCCAGAGATCTCCATCCTCTCCTGTTCTACAGAGTGTTGTGGTCCCAGATTCAAACTCCAAACCTAAATCTTCATCTTCGTGTGAACTAGATAGGATAGGACTGGTTCAGCCTGCAATAATTACAGAGACACCCCACATCAACAAAAACCTTGATTCTTTGATTACTAGTGAGATGGAAAAAGCAATGGAAGAGACTCGTTCTCGAAGCTCTAGTACTCACAGTACAACCTCCTCTGGATCAAGTGTTGGTTCTCGAGAGACTGAAAGCCAGGGGTCAGCATCTGTTCCTGTTCGAGTAAAACGTCCCCCTCCACCCAGCCATATGTCTGCCAGTCAATACAGACATTCAGTAAACTTTCCAGTGACCTTTGACTCCACTAACACTTCACAATCACGTCTCAGTAGACAAGGCAGTCTAGCCACTTCCTCAGGCCTGAATAGCACTAATCAGATCAGCGTTGGGAACTCCACTTTCTTCACAGATGCCTTGATCCCAGATCACAAATTTCCAGTTCCAAGAAGACCTCCTCCATCACCACAAAGGATGGGTTCAGTTGATACACTTGAACGAAAGTTATCCTTAAAAAAACCACCTCCACCCCGCCCAACAGTGCCCAGGGGCAGTGTTTGGGACACCTGCACCCCTCAGAACATACCTAACAAGACCCTCCCTCACAGATCTGCACCCTGCCCTCCCAAAAATGTGCGTGTTCCATCCCGCCCTGCCCCACCTACCCCATCTCAGATAGTTTCTCCTCCAAAACGACCACCTCCAAGGAGACCCTTGTCAGAGGAGGCCATTGAAAAGTGTAAGTACACTTGATTCTTACATCCCACATTCTAATTTTTAGGTCATTTGACCCAAAGGGTCAAGATGACCTATAGCTGTCGTCGTCCGCCGTGCACCGTCCGCCGTCCCCCGTGCATAAACTTTTCATTCAAAAAATTTCTTCTCAAATACTAGAAGGTCTAGGGGGCTAATACTTGGCACAGAGGATACTGGCATGGAGCTCTACCAAGTTTGTTCAAATGAATGACCTTGACCCACTTTAAAGGTCACAGGGGTCAAATATGTTAAAATCTTTAAACAACTTCTTCTCATTAACCAAAAGGCTCAGAGTGTAGATATTGGGCCTGTGACATGCTGGGATGAAGTGCTACTAAGTTTGTTCAAGTGAATGACCTTGACCAACGTTCAAGGTAACAGGGGCCAAATATGTTAAAATCTTTAAACGACTTCTCCTTAATAACCAAAAGGCTCAGATTGCTGATATTGTGCCTGTGGCATGCTGGGATGAAGGGCTATCAAGTTTGTTCAAATGAATGACCTTGAACAACTTTCAAGGTCACAGGGGTCAAATATGTTAAAATCTATGAATAACTTCTTCTCAAATACTAGAAGGCCTAGGGGGCTAATACTTGGCCCATAGCATGCTGGCATGGAGCCCTACAAAGTTTGTTCAAATGAATGACCTTGGCCTACTTTCAAGGTCACAGGGGTCAAATATGTTAAAATATACAAACGACTTCTTCTCAATAAGCAAAAGTCCATGAGTGCTGATATTGGGCCTGGAGGATGCTTGGAGGAAGGGCTACCAAGTTTGTGCAAATAAATGACCTCGACATACTTTCTAGGTCACAGGGGTCAAATATGTTAAAATTTTTAAACAACTTCTTCTCAACAACCAAAAGGTTCAGAATGCTGATATTGGGTCTGTAGGATGCTGGGTTGACATGCTACCAAGTTTGTTCAAATGAATGACCTTGACCCATTTTCAAGGTCAAAGGGGTTAAATATGTTAAAATATGCCAGTGACTTCTCAATAACCAAAATGACTAGAATGCTGAGATTGGGCCTGTAGGATGCTTTGAGGAAGTGTTACCAAATGTGTTCAAGTGAATGACCTTGACCCACTTTCAAGATCACAGGGTTCAAATATGTTAAAATCTGTAAACAACTTCTTCTCAGTAACCAAAAGGCTCAGAGTGCTGATATTGGGCTTGTAGGATGCTGGGAGGAAGGGCTACCAAGTTCATTCAAATGAATAAAGCCCACTGTTTTAGCGGCAGACTCACTGTTGTTAGAGTTTGGCTTGCTTTTTGTCAGATGACCGTTAAGGCCCATGGGCCTCTTGTTAGGTCACCTGACCTGAAGGGCCAAGTGAGCTTATGCTGTGGTGCGGTGTCTGTCATCCATCGTCTTTCTGTCATTTACTTTTCCCTTAAAATAACTTCTTCTTAATAACCAATGGACCAAATGTTTTGATATTTGGCTGGTATGTTCCTAGGATGAAGCTGACAAAGTTTGTGAAAAGAAATTACCTTGACCTATGTTCGAGTGACGGGGGTCACATTTTTAAAATGTTTAAATAACTTCTTCTCATGACCTAAAAGGCGTAGAGCCATGGAATTTGGCTGGTATGGTTCTAGGATGAAGTCCGACAAAGTTTGCGAAAGGAAATGTCCTTGACCTAAATTCAAGGTCACAAGGATCAAAATTTGAATTTGTTATTGCAGCTATAGTAGCCATGTCAATTTTGTCCATTTTTTATATAATAGATACCAGGTAGGTGCTGCACACCCATTCAGCCTCTTGTTAAGTTTGTGCTTGTCACTTGTTAAAACCTAAATATTCAACTAAGGTGACCGTGAAGGCATCTTTTTTCTCTTTTTTTCTTTTATCTGTCATCAAAAAATGAGGCTCCAGCTAAATCTCTCTTTCACTATATATCTCTGCATTTGGAACATGGTTAGATATATTCAAGCAATCTTCTTCTTGAAACTATAGAGACAGGTTTAATATTTTGCATTTTACTATGAATATGAATGTTTTATCACATATTCAAGATGGCTGTCAGCGGCCATCTTTGATAGTGATATCTGAAGAATACTGCTATGATTATATTGATGATGAATGGTGACATAAGTATTTCATCAAAGTTTCAGGTATTAGATCAACAATGCTTTACATTGATTTGTAAATTGCAGATGAAGCCAATGCAGAGGTCATTCGAGATTTACGTAACAGGATACAGGAAGCAGAGAAGGACTTGGAGGTAAGCAAGCTTTTGGCCCATTTATTATTCAAACAGTGCAATTTTAATATACTGCTGGGCCAATCTTCCACATTATGATTGTGGTAATCATATCAATTAACTGCCTTCATGGCTAATCACATCAATTTATCAAAAGTGTGACTGCCATCCTCACCAATTATCATATTACTTGATCAAAAGTCTGACCGCTGCCCTGGTTGACCCCCAGGGCTGAAGGGTAGGGCTGAAGGGGTTCAAATTGACTCAGATTTCAAAAATATTCTTCTCAACATCCAGATATGGCAGTATCAAATGCTCTTCATGGATAGAAGTGTCTTAAGGTGGTTTACCAAAATTGTGAATTTCATGGCCCCAAGGTCTCACATTTCCCCGTGGGGTGGGGGGGGGGGGGGGGGGAGGGTAAAGTTTACTCTAGTTTATAAAGGAAAACTAGATTGTTGAGTATGATTTGTTTAATTATAATTGTAAATATTTCAATCTTGGTTAGAATTGTGAATGAAGGTTGACAACTAGGTAGTATGAATAGATTGATCCTGACTGACCCCTAGGGGCTGTTAGGTAGGGCCAGAAGGGGTCACATTGACTTACAAAAATCTTCTTCTCAACACCCATGTATGGTCGAATCAAATGCTCTTGTGGTCCAAAAGATCATCGTGGAAATTCATCAGATTTGTCAGTCTATCGTCTGCAATTCTATTGTTTGTCCATTGGTGCATTAATTGTCCGATGATCGTTCAGGACTGTGGCCTTCTTGTTAGGAGAAAATATCATTAAAAAGTGGTATTTATAGACCAGCTTTATTACCACCTTTCTTAACCGTTTGGAATTTTTGTTGACAGAACTGTCGGAAGTGTAAAGGAGAGTTAGAACACATGTTGACCAACAGTCGAGAAGAAGATCGTGCAGAAGTGTATGACAATGTTGAATTTTATGAGGAAAACATCAAAGGTCTTACTGAGGAGTTACAAAACTTGAGGGGTGAGTTCTGTTTTAGACATGTAGATGAATTGGTGTTGATGGTTGTGCTGTTATAATGTCCGTTAAATTTCTGGAGATTAATTCTGAATGCACAAGTTTTTTAACTCAAAAGATTTAATCATCATCTACAAGGTATAATGTGAAATTTTATCCCTGCTTAATTTTTGCCCTTTTTGTCCATGTACAGGGAGGGCAAAATTAAGATTGGAAAAGAATTTTCTCAAAGCAATGTTATATAATCCTCAGAGTGTGAAATGAACATGAGGCGAATTTGTTGTATAATGGTATCCGAGTATACAGTATGTAAAATTCCCAGATAAAAATTTGTGTGACTATATTTATATCACAGTTGTGTAAAACTTCAATATTAAATAAACTGCTACATAATAATTAAATTGATATACTTAATATTAAATAAGTAACATTCTGAAATCTAGTAAACTTTCTTAGGAAATCTTACCAGCTGATCCTTCTCTCTCAAAGTTTTGAATGTACCTGCAGTACTGTCTCATGTAGATTTTTTTCGCCAGTTGTATATACACAATGTGTATGTTGTTACTAAAGTCTTATATTAAAGTCACTTGAATTTTTAAGTGCGTTCTGTATGGGTTATTGAGTAATATGTCCTACATTTAGGGTTTAAATTGGATTCTGATTTTATGAAACAAGTCACATTGATTTTCATTTCATTGAGCCTTTTGCTAGCTAAAATGAAAAATTTGTGATGAGTTTCATAAATGATATATCAAAGAGAAGCAAATTTAAGATCGTTGTTATCCTTTGATTACCATTAGTGTAATTGCTTGGTTATAAGCTCCACTGGTATATAAGTCACAGAGCCAATGTTTACTGACTTTAAACATTTTTATCCACATATAAGCCAAACAGGAATATAAGCTGCACCTTTTCTGACAATATGGTGACCACTATTATTGACATTCGATATACTGGTGACAGATAACGGAAGGCAGTTAGTACCAATTGCTAACAGTTATATTGACCAAAGTTCATTGATATAACAGACAAAGGAAGTCAATTTATCAAGGTCATCAGTGAAACTTTGAATAAAGTTTGCAAATGAATTATATGCAGACAATCTTTTAGTATATTGATGTAGTTAAAAAAAATGTAAAATAGCAAATATCAAACTTGTTTGGCTTTTGTGCCATTACGTACAGTTTACTAAACATTGGTGTTTATACTGTGAAATTTTAATGAAGGCCTTTGCATGCTGACCAAATTCTTATAGTCCCACATTATTTCTGCTTGCAAGTTACATGAAGCCATATATATCATAAACAAGCATGGTAGTCATTCTCAAATATAACCTATAAACCGATGACCTATCAATCCAAGGATGCATATTAAAAACTTCTGCAATGGCTTCGAAGTGAAGTAACCGCAGGAGTCCAGATGATTTTATTGTGAATTTTCCGGCCCCCAGTTTGATTGGAGGCGGTGATTAGTTAAGAGAGAGAGAGAGTGTAATAAATAGGTGATCTGTTTTTCCAGCCTCTAGTTTGACTGAAGGAGGTGATTAGTTAAGAGAGAGAGAGAGTGTAATAAATAGGTGATCTGTTTTTCCAGCCTCTAGTTTGACAGAAGGAGGTGATTAATTAACAGTGAGGTTGTTATATACAGGTTTCTACCATAACCTGTGTATGCTATCTCATGTCCAGATTATTCATTAAACACCATATCCATTGTTTATTCATACGCATAATACACATGTGTATTATTGGTGACAGCCAAATCTATTGGACGAGGCATTAACATTTGACCCAACTATGATCTGTGACCCCGAACTAGTTTAGCAGTGAGAGTGTTATATACAGGTGACCTGTTTCCCTGTTGTTTCTGTACTTACATTTAAAGGTTAACTTATGTATACCTGTTACAGAAACTCTACAGAGAATGTCTCCAGAGGAAGTTGATGCTGTTGAACAACAGATCGTAGATGAGAAACGCAGACAAGAAGAGGAGAAACAACAATTAGAGGAAAAGAAAAGGCAGGAAGAAATGATTAAAAAAAGAAAAGAAAAACGATCAAAAGTGATTGAGGAGTTGTTGCAGACAGAAAAAGACCATCTACAAAGTCTGCATTTATGTATGGAGACTTTTCTCAATCCTCTGTCAGAAAAGGTAGGAAACTGTTATCTCACCTGTATATGGAGACTATTCCAAATCTTCTGTTAGAAAAGGTATGGAACTTTGATCTCACCTGTCTATAGAGACTTTTCTCAGTCCTCTGTCAGAAAAGGTAGGAAAATTTGATCTCACCTGTATATTGAGACTTTTCTCAATCCTCTGTCAGAAAAGGTAGGAAACTGTTATCTCACCTGTATATGGAGACTTTTCTCAATCCTCTGTCAGAAAAGGTAGGAAACTGTTATCTCACCTGTATATGGAGACTATTCCAAATCTTCTGTTAGAAAAGGTATGGAACTTTGATCTCACCTGTCTATGGAGACTTTTCTCAGTCCTCTGTCAGAAAAGGTAGGAAAATTTGATCTCACCTGTATATTGAGACTTTTCTCAATCCTCTGTCAGAAAAGGTAGGAAACTGTTATCTCACCTGTATATGGAGACTTTTCTCAGTCCTCTGTCAGAAAAGGTAGGAAACTGTTATCTCACCTGTATATGGAGACTATTCCAAATCTTCTGTTAGAAAAGGTATGGAACTTTGATCTCACCTGTCTATGGAGACTTTTCTCAATCCTCTGTCAGAAAAGGTAGGAAAATTTGATTTTACCTGCATATGGAGACTTTTCTCAATCTTCTGTCAGAAAAGGTAGGGAATTGTTATCTCACCTGTATATGGAGACTTTACCAAATCTTCTGTTAGAAAAGGTAGGAAACTTTGATCTCACCTGTATATGGAGACTTTTCTGAATCCTCTGTCAGAAAAGGTAGGAAACTTTGATCTCACCTGTATATGGAGACTTTTCCCAATCTTCTGTCAGAAAAGGTAGGAAAATTTGATTTTACCTGCATATGGAGACTTTTCTCAATCTTCTGTCAGAAAAGGTAGGGAATTGTTATCTCACCTGTATATGGAGACTTTACCAAATCTTCTGTCAGAAAAGGTAGGAAACTTTGATCTCACCTGTATATGGAGACTTTTCTGAATCCTCTGTCAGAAAAGGTAGGAAACTTTGATCTCATCTGTATATGGAGACTTTTCCCAATCTTCTGTCAGAAAAGGTAGGGAACTATTATCTCACCTGTATCAGGAAACTTTTCTCAATCTTCTGTCAGAAAAGGTAGGGAATTGTTATCTCACCTGTATATGGAGACTTTACCAAATCTTCTGTCAGAAAAGGTATGGAACTTTGATCTCACCTGTATATGGAGACTTTTCTCAATCTTCTGTCAGAAAAGGTAGGAAACTTTGATCTCACCTGCATATGGAGACTTTTCTCAATCTTCAGTCAGAAAAGGTAGGGAATTGTTATCTCACCTGTATATGGAGACTTTACCAAATCTTCTGTCAGAAAAGGTAGGAAACTTTGATCTAACCTGTATATGGAGACTTTTCCAAATCTTTTTGTCAGAAAAGGTAGGAAACTTTTTTCTTACCTGTATATGGAGACTTTTGCAAATCTTTTGTCAGAAAAGGTAGGAAACTTTGTTCTCAACTGTATATGGAGACTTTTATCAATCTTCTGTCAGAAAAGGTAAGAAACTTTGATCTCACCTGTATATTGAGACTTTTCCCAATGTTCTGTCAGAAAAGGTATGGAACTTTGATCTCACCTGTATATGGAGACTTTTCTCAGTCCTCTGTCAGAAAAGGTAGAGAACTGTTATCTGACCTCTTTATATAGACTTTTCTCAATCTTCTGTCAGAAAAGGTAGGAAACTTTGATCTCACCTGTATATGGAGACTTTTCTCAATCTTTTGTCAGAAAAGGTAGGAAACTGTTATCTCACCTGTATATGGAGACTTTTCTCAATCCTCTGTCAGAAAAGGTAGGAAACTTTGATCTCACCTGTATATTGAGACTTTTCTCAATCCTCTGTCAGAAAAGGTAGGAAAATTTGATCTCACCTGTATATGGAGACTTTTCTCAATCTTCTGTCAGAAAAGGTAGGAAACTGTTATCTCACCTGTATATGAAGACTTTTCTCAATCTTCTGTCCGAAAAGGTAGGAAACTTTGATCTCACCTGTCTATGGAAACTTTTCGCAGTCCTCTGTCAGAAAAGGTAGGAAAATTTGATCTCACCTGTATATTGAGACTCTTCTCAATCCTCTGTCAGAAAAGGTAGGAAACTTTGATCTTACCCGTATATGGAGACTTTTCCAAATCTTCTGTCAGAAAACGTAGGGAACGATGATCTCACCTGTATATGGAGACTTTTCTCAATCTTCTGTCAGAAAAGGTAGGGAACTATTATCTCACCTGTATAAGGAGACTTTTCCCAATGTTCTGTCAGAAAAGGCAGGGAACTTTGATCTCACCTGTATATGGAGACTTTTCTCAATCCTCTGTCAGAAAAGACAGGGAACTTTGATCTCACCTGTATATGGAGACTTTTCTCAATCTTTTGTCAGAAAAGGTAGGAAACTGTTATCTCACCTATATATGGAGACTTTTCTCAATCCTCTGTCAGAAAAGGTAGGAAACTTTGATCTCACCTGTATATTGAGACTTTTCTCAATCCTCTGTCAGAAAAGGTAGGAAAATTTGATCTCACCTGTATATGGAGACTTTTCTCAATCTTCTGTCAGAAAAGGTAGGAAACTGTTATCTCACCTGTATATGGAGACTTTTCTCAATCTTCTGTCCGAAAAGGTAGGAAACTTTGATCTCACCTGTCTATGGAAACTTTTCTCAGTCCTCTGTCAGAAAAGGTAGGAAAATTTGATCTCACCTGTTTATTGAGGCTTTTCTCAATCCTCTGTCAGAAAAGGTAGGAAACTGTTATTTCACCTGTATATGGAGACTTTTCTCAATCTTCTGTCAGAAAAGGTAGGAAACTTTGATCTCACCTGTATATTGAGACTTTTCTCAATCCTCTGTCAGAAAAGGTAGGAAAATTTGATCTCACCTGTATATGGAGACTTTTCTCAATCTTCTGTCAGAAAAGGTAGGAAACTGTTATCTCACCTGTATATGGAGACTTTTCTCAATCTTCTGTCCGAAAAGGTAGGAAACTTTGATCTCACCTGTCTATGGAAACTTTTCTCAGTCCTCTGTCAGAAAAGGTAGGAAAATTTGATCTCACCTGTTTATTGAGGCTTTTCTCAATCCTCTGTCAGAAAAGGTAGGAAACTGTTATCTCACCTGTATATGGAGACTTTTCTCAATCTTCTGTCAGAAAAGGTATTGAACTTTGATCTCACCTGTATATGAAGACTTTTCTGAGTCCTCTGTCAGAAAAGGTAGGAAAATTTGATCTCACCTGTATATTGAGACTTTTCTCAATCCCCTGTCAGAAAAGGTAGGAAACTTTGATCTCACCTGTATATTGAGACTTTTCTCAAAACTCTGTCAGAAAAGGTAGGAAACTTTGATCTTACCCGTATATGGAGACTTTTCCAAATCTTTTGTCAGAAAAGGTAGGGAACGATGATCTCACCTGTAGATGGAGACTTTTCTCAATCCTCTGTCAGAAAAAGGAGGGAACTTTGATCTCACCTGTATATGAAGACTTTTCTTAATCTTCTGTCAGAAAAGGTATTGAACTTTGATCTCACCTGTATATGAAGACTTTTCTTAATCTTCTGTCAGAAAAGGTGTGGAACTTTGATCTCACCTGTATATTGAGACTTTTCCGAATTTCTGTCAGAAAAGGTATGGAACTTTGATCTCGCCTGTATATAGAGACTTTTGTCAGTCCTCTGTCAGAAAAGGCAGGAAAAGTTGATCTCACCTGTATATTGAGACTTTTCTCAAACCTCTGTCAGAAAAGGTAGGAAACTTTGATCTCACCTGTATATGGAGACTTTTCGAATTTCTGTCAGAAAAGGTATGGAACTTCGATCTCACCTGTATATGGAGACTTTTCTCAATCCTCTGTCAGAAAAGGTATGGAACTTTGATCTCACCTGTATATGGAGACTTTTGTCAGTCCTCTGTCAGAAAAGGCAGGAAAAGTTGATCTCACCTGTATATTGAGACTTTTCTCAATCCTCTGTCAGAAAAGGTAGGAAACTTTGATCTCACCTGTATATGGAGACTTTTCCCAATCTACTGTCAGAAAAAGTATGGAACTTTGATCTTACCTGTAGATGGAGACTTTTCTCAATCTTCTGTCAGAAAAGGTAGGGAACTTTGATCTCACCTGTATATGGAGACTTTTCTCAATCTTTTGTCAGAAAAGGTAGGGAACTTTGATCTCACCTGTATATTGAGACTTTTCTCAATCTTCTGTCAGAAAAGGTAGGAAACTGTTATCTCACCTGTATATGGAGACTATTCTCAATCTTCTGTCCGAAAAGGTAGGAAACTTTGGTCTCACCTGTAGATGGAGATTTTTCTCAATCCTCTGTCAGAAAAAGGAGGGAACTTTGATCTCACCTGTATATGGAGACTTTTCTTAATCTTCTGTCAGAAAAGGTGTGGAACTTTGATCTCACCTGTATATGAAGACTTTTCCGAATTTCTGTCAGAAAAGGTATGGAACTTCGATCTCACCTGTATATGGAGACTTTTCTCAATCCTCTGTCAGAAAAGGTATGGAACTTTGATCTCACCTGTATATGGAGACTTTTGTCAGTCCTCTGTCAGAAAAGGCAGGAAAAGTTGATCTCACCTGTATATTGAGACTTTTCTCAATCCTCTGTCAGAAAAGGTAGGAAACTTTGATCTCACCTGTATATGGAGACTTTTCTCAATCTTCTGTCAGAAAAGGTAGGTCACCTGTATATGGAGACTTTTCTCAATCTTCTGTCAGAAAAGGTAGGGAACTTTGATCTCACCTGTATATGGAGACTTTTCTCAATCTTCTGTCAGAAAAGGTATGGAACTTTGATCTCACCTGTATATGGAGACTTTTCTCAATCTTTTGTCAGAAAAGGTAGGAAACTGTTATCTCACCTGTATATGGAGACTTTTCTCAATCTTCGGTCAGAAAAGGTATGGAACTTTGATCTCACCTGTATATGGAGACTTTTCTCAATCTTCTGTCAGAAAAGGTATGGAACTTTGATCTCACCTGTATATGGAGACTTTTCTCAATCTTCTGTCAGAAAAGGTAGGTCACCTGTATATGGAGACTTTTCTCAATCTTCTGTCAGAAAAGGTAGGGAACTTTGATCTCACCTGTATATGGAGACTTTTCTCAATCTTCTGTCAGAAAAGGTATGGAACTTTGATCTCACCTGTATATGGAGACTTTTCTCAATCTTTTGTCAGAAAAGGTAGGAAACTGTTATCTCACCTGTATATAGAGACTTTTCTCAATCTTCGGTCAGAAAAGGTATGGAACTTTGATCTCACCTGTATATGGAGACTTTTCTCAATCTTCTGTCAGAAAAGGTATGGAACTTTGATCTCACCTGTATATGGAGACTTTCTCAATCTTTTCAGAAAAGTCAGAGAACTTTGATCTCACCTGTATATTGAGACCTCTCAATCCTCTGTCAGAAAAGGTAGGAAACTTTGATCTCACCTGTATATTGAGACTTTTCTCAATCCTCTGTCAGAAAAGGTAGGTCACCTGTATATGGAGACTTTTCTCAATCTTCGGTCAGAAAAGGTAGGGAACTTTGATCTCACCTGTATATGGAGACTTTTCTCAATCTTTTGTCAGAAAAGGTAGGAAACTGTTATCTCACCTGTATATGGAGACTTTTCTCAATCTTTTGTCAGAAAAGGTAGAAAACTGTTATCTCACCTGTATATTGAGACTTTTCTCAATCCTCTGTCAGAAAAGGTAGGAAACTTTGATCTCACCTGTATATGGAGACTTTTCTCAATCTTCTGTCAGAAAAGGTATGGAACTTTGATCTCACCTTGATATGGAGACTTTTCTCAATCTTCTGTCAGAAAAGGTATGCAACTTTGATCTCACCTGCATATGGAGACTTTTCTCAATCTTCTGTCAGAAAAGGTATGGAACTTTGATCTCACCTGTATATTGAGACCTCTCAATCCTCTGTCAGAAAAGGTAGGAAACTTTAATCTCACGTGTATATGAAGACTTTTCTCAATCTTCTGTCAGAAAAGGTAGGTCACCTGTATATGGAGACTTTTCTCAATCTTCTGTCAGAGAAGGTAGGGAACTTTGATCTCACCTGTATATGGAAACTTTTCTCAATCTTCTGTCAGAAAAGGTATGGAACTTTGATCTCACCTGTATATGGAGACTTTTCTCAATCTTTTGTCAGAAAAGGTAGGAAACTGTTATCTCACCTGTATATGGAGACTTTTCTCAATCTTCTGTCAGAAAAGGTAGGAAACTGTTATCTCACCTTTATATGGAGACTTTTCTCAATCTTCTGTCAGAAAAGGTAAGATTCAATGAAAAATACTTTCAGTACTTCATTGCCCAAACACTACAACTGACAAAATGCATGATCTTAGTCGTTTAGTTAACAATGGACTGAGACGCTGTAATTAACCATGTGTTATGCACAGGTGACTTTCAACTCTGTTTTTGTATTGACCAATTTCGTAAGAAGATGTGCCGATGTTTTGACAAAAAATTGATTTTGAGCCAACAAATGACTTTTCCCTTGCTTTACAATTGAAAGGACTGAAAAATCGCTTTGACTCAACCAAAATTTTAACTCTGTGAAATTCAAGTCATCCGAATTAAAATTACAAAGATATAGAAGGAAAAAAAACTCGAAAATTATTTTGACTTGTACAATTTAGAGACGGGTTTCAACTGTATTTCAGTGTTTGACCTACTTCTATTTCTGTGATTTGTTTCAGCATCCTGATGTGGATATTGAGATAATGTTTGGAAACATGGAGGAGATTGCAGAGGTGTCCCAGCGTCTCCTGACATTGATGGAGGAGGCTGTCTATACTAGAGAGTTTCAGGATCAAGTTATAGGTAAGTCTATCATATTGAGGGAGGAGACTGTCTATACTAGAGAGTTTATCATATTGAGGGAGGAGACTGTCTATACTAGAGAGTCTATCATATTAAGGGAGGAGACTGTCTATACTAGAGAGTTTATCATATTGAGGGAGGAGGCTGTCTATGCTAGAGAGGTTATTATTTTGAGGAAGGAGGCTGTCTATAGGAGGTTGTCTATACTAGAGAGTTTATGATATTGAGGGAGGAGGCTGTCTGTAGGAGGCTGTCTATACTAGAGAGCTTATCATTTTGAGGAAGGAGGCTGTCTATAGGAGGCTGTCTACACTAGAGAGTTTATTATATTGAGGGAGGTGGCTGTCTATACTAGAGAGTCTATCATATTGAGGGAGGAGGATGTCTATTCTAGAGAGTTTATCATATTGAGGGAGGAGGCTGTCTATACTAGAGAGTTTATCATATTGAGATAGGAGGCTGTCTATACTAGAGAGTTTATCATATTGAGGGAGGAGGCTGTCTATAGGATGCTGTCTATACTAGAGAGGTTATCATTTTGAGGAAGGAGGCTGTCTATACTAGAGAGTTTATCATATTGAGGGAGGAGGCTGTCTATAGGAAGCTGTCTATACTAGAGATGTTATCATTTTGAGGAAGGAGGCTCTCTATAGGAGGTTGTCTATACTAGAGAGTTTATCATATTGAGGGAGGAGGCTGTCTATACTAGAGAGTTTATCATATTGAGGGAGGAGGCTGTCTATAGGAGGCTGTCTATACTAGAGATGTTATCATTTTGAGGAAGGAGGCTGTCTATAGGAGGTTGTCTATACTAGAGAGTTGATCGTATTGATGGAGGAGGCTTTTTATACTAGAGAATTTATCATATTGAGGGAGGAGGCTGTCTACACTAGAGAGTTTATTATATTGAGGGAGGTGGCTGTCTATACTAGAGAGTCTATCATATTAGGGGAGGAGGATGTCTATTCTAGAGAGTTTATCATATTGAGGGAGGAGGATGTCTATTCTAGAGAGTTTATCATATTGAGGGAGGAGGCTGTCTATACTAGAGAGCTTATCATATTGAGGTAGGAGGCTGTCTATACTAGAGAGTTTATCATATTGAGGGAGGAGGCTGTCTATAGGATGCTGTCTATACTAGAGAGGTTATCATTTTGAGGAAGGAGGCTGTCTATACTAGAGAGTTTATCATATTGAGGGAGGAGGCTGTCTATAGGAGGCTGTCTATACTAGAGATGTTATCATTTTGAGGAAGGAGGCTGTCTATAGGAGGTTGTCTATACTAGAGAGTTTATCATATTGAGGGAGGAGGCTGTCTATACTAGAGAGTTTATCATATTGAGGGAGGAGGCTGTCTATAGGAGGTTGTCTATACTATATAGTTTATGATATTAAGGGAGGAGGCTGTCTGTTGGAGGCTGTCTATACTAGAGAGGTTATCATTTTGAGGAAGAGGCTGTCTATAGGAGGTTGACTATACTAGAAAGTTTATGATATTGAGGGTGAAGGCTGTATATCCTACGAAGTTTATCATATAGTGGGAGGAGGCTGTCTATACTAGAGAGGTTATCATATTGTGGGAGGAGGCTGTCCAGTGGATGCTGTCTATACTAGAGAGGTTATCATGTTGAGGGAGGAGGCTGTCTATAGGAGGTTGTCTATACTAGAGATTCTATCATGTTGAGGGAGGAGGCTGTCTATACTAGAGAGTCTATCATATTGTGGGAGGAGGCTGTATATAGGAGGCTGTCTATACTAGAGATGTTATCATTTAGGGGAAGGAGTCTGTCTATAGGAGGCTGTCTATACTAGAGATTCTATCATGTTGAGGGAGGAGGCTGTCTATACTAGAGAGTCTATCATATTGAGGGAGGAGGCTGTCTATATTAGAGAGGTTATCATTTTGAGGAAGGAGGCTGTCTATAGGAGGCTGTCTATACTAGAGAGGCTATCATTTTGAGGAAGGAGGCTGTCTATAGGAGGTTGTCTATACTAGAGATTCTATCATGTTGAGGGAGGAGGCTGTCTATACTAGAGAGTCTATCATATTGAGGGAGGAGGCTGTCTATACTAGAGAGTCTCATCATATTGAGGGAGGTGGCTGTCTGCACTAGAGAGTTTATCATATTGAGGGAGGAGGCTATCTATACTACAGAGTCTATCATATTGAGGTAGGAGGCTGTCTTTACTAGAGAGTCTATCATATTGATGTAGTGATGTAGGAGGCTGTCTATACTAGAGAGTTGATCATATTGAGGGAGGAGGCTGTCTATGCTAGAGAGGTTATTATTTTGAGGAAGGAGGCTGTCTATAGGAGGTTGTCTATACTAGAGAGTTTATCATATTGAGGGTGAAGGCTGTATATCCTAGGGAGTTTATCATATTGAGGGAGGAGGCTTTTTATACTAGAGAGTCTATCATTTTGAGGGAGGAGTCTCTCTATACTAGAGAGTTTATCATATTGAGGGAGGAGGCTGTCTATACTAGAGATGTTATCATTTTGAGGAAGGAGGCTGTCTATTGGAGGCTGTCTATACTAGAGATTCTATCATGTTGAGGGAGGTGGCTGTCTATAGGAGGCTGTCTATACTAGAGATTTATCATTTTGAGGAAGGAGGCTGTCTATAGGAGGTTGTCTATACTAGAGAGTTTATCATAGAGAGTCTATACTAGAGAGTTTATCATATTGAGGGGGAGTCTATACTAGAGAGCTGTGTATGAGGGAGGAGGCTGTCTATACTAGAGAGTTTATCATATTGAGGGAGGAGGCTTTTTATACTAGAGAGTCTATCATTTTGAGGGAGGAGGCTGTCTATACTAGAGAGTTTATCATATTGAGGGTGAAGGCTGTATATCCTAGGGAGTTTATCATATTGAGGGAGGAGGCTTTTTATACTAGAGAGTTTATGATTTTGAGGAAGGAGGCTGTCTATAGGAGGCTGTCTATACTAGAGAGTTTATCATATTGAGGGAGGAGGCTGTCTATACTAGAGAGTTTATCATATTGAGGGAGGAGGCTGTCTATACTAGAGAGTTTATCATATTGAGGGAGGAGGCTGTCTATACTAGAGAGGTTATCATTTTGAGGAAGGAGGCTGTCTATAGGAGGTTGTCTATACTGGAGAGTTTATCATATTGAGGGAGGAGGCTGTCTATACCTGAGAGTTTATGAAATTGAGGGAGGAGGCTGTCTATACTAGAGAGTTTATCATATTGAGGAAGGAGGCTGTCTATAGGAGGCTGTCTATACTAGAGATTCTATCATTTTGAGAAAGGAGGCTGTCTATAGGAGGTTGTCTATACTAGAGAGTTTAACATATTGAGGGAGGAGGCTGTCTATACTAGAGAGTCTATCATATTGAGGGAGGAGGCTGTGTATAGGAGGCTGTCTATACTAGAGAGTTTATCATATTGAGGGAGGAGGCTGTCTATACTAGAGAGTTTATCATATTGAGGAATGAGGCTGTCTATAGGAGACTGTCTATACTAGAGAGTCTATCATATTGAGGAAGGAGGCTGTCTATACTAGAGAGTCTATCATATTGAGGGAGGAGGCTCTCTATACTAGAGATTTTATCATATTGAGGGAGGAGGCTGTCTATAGGAGGCTGTCTATACTAGAGAGGTTATCATTTTGAGGAAGGAGGCTATGTATAGGAGGTTGTCGATACTAGAGATTCTATCATTTTGAGGGAGGAGGCTGTCTATACTAGGGAGTTTTGTCAAATTGAGGGAGGAGGCTGTCTATACTAGAGAGTTTATCATATTGAGGGAGGAAGCTGTCTCTACTAGAGAGTTTATCAAATTGAGGGAGGAGGCTGTCTATACTAGGGAGTTTTGTCAAATTGAGGGAGGAGGCTGTCTATACTAGAGAGTTTATCATATTGAGGGAGGAGGCTGTCTATACTAGAGAGGTTATCATTTTGAGGAAGGAGGCTGTCTATAGGAGGTTGTCTATACTAGAGAGTTTATCATATTGAGGGAGGAGGCTCTCTATACTAGAGAGTTTATCATATTGAGGGAGGAGTCTCTCTATACTAGAGAGTTTATCATATTGAGGGAGGAGGCTGTCTATACTAGAGAGTTTATCATATTGAGGGAGGAGGCTGTCTATAGTATGCTGTCTATACTAGAGTGTTTATCATATTGAGGGAGGAGGCTGTCTATACTAATGAGTTTATCATATTGAGGGAGGAGGCTGTCTATACTAGAGAGTTTATCATATTGAGGGAGGAGGTTGTCTATACTAGAGAGTTTATCATATTGAGGGAGGTGGCTGTCTATACTAGAGAGTTTATCATATTGAGGAAGGAGGCTGTCTATACTAGAGAGGTTATCATTTTGAGGGAGGAGGCTGTCTATACTAGAGAGTTTATCATATTGAGGGAGGAGGCTGTCTATACTAGAGAGTTTATCATATTGAGGGAGGAGGCTCTCTATACTAGAGAGTTTATCATATTGAGGGAGAGTTTATGAAATTGAGGGAGGAGGCTGTCTATACTAGAGAGTTTATCAAATTTAGGGAGGAGGCTGTCTATACTAGAGAGTTCATCATATTGAGGGAGGAGGCTGTCTATACTAGAGAGTTTATCATATTGAGGGAGGAGGCTGTCTATAGTATGCTGTCTATACTAGAGAGTTTATCATATTGAGGGAGGAGGCTGTCTATACTAGAGAGGCTATCATTTTGAGGAAGGAGGCTGTCTGTACTAGAGAGTTGATCATATTGAGGAAGGATGCTGTCTATACTAGAGAGTCTATCATATTGAGGAAATAGACTGTCTATTCTAGAGAGTCTATCATATTGAAGGAGGAGGCTGTCTATACTAGAGAGTTTATCATATTGAGAGAGTCTATACTAGAGAGTTATCATATTGAGGGAGGAGACTGTATATACTAGAGAGTTTATCATATTGAGGGAGGAGGTTGTCTATACTAGAGAGTTTATCATATTGAGGGAGGTGGCTGTCTATACTAGAGAGTTTATCATATTGAGGAAGGAGGCTGTCTATACTAGAGAGGTTATCATTTTGAGGGAGGAGGCTGTCTGTACTAGAGAGGTTATCATTTTGAGGAAGGAGGCTGTCTATAGGATGTTGTCTATACTAGAGAGTTTATCATATTGAGGGTAGAGGCTGTCTATACTAGAGAGTTTATCATATTGAGGGAGGAGGCTCTCTATACTAGAGAGGTTATCATATTGAGGGAGGAGGCTGTCTATAGGAGGCTGTCTATACTAGAGAGTTTATCATATTGAGGGAGGAGGCTCTCTATACTAGAGAGTTTATCATATTGAGGGAGGAGACTGTCTATACTAGAGAGTTTATCATATTGAGGGAGGAGGCTCTCTATACTAGAGAGTTTATCATATTGAGGGAGGAGACTGTCTATAGGAGGCTGTCTATACTAGAGAGTTTATTATATTGAGGGAGGAGACTGTCTATAGGAGGCTGTCTATACTAGAGAGTTTATCATATTGAGGGAGGAGGCTGTGTATACTAGAGAGTTTATCATATTGAGGGAGGAGACTATACTAGAGAGTTTATCATATTTTGAGGGAGGAGGCTGTCTATACTAGAGAATTTATTATATTAGAGAGAGGGAGGAGGCTGTCTATACTAGAGAGTTTATCATATTGAGGGAGGAGGCTCTCTATACTAGAGAGTTTATCATATTGAGGGAGGAGGCTCTCTATACTAGAGAGTTTATCATATTGAGGGAGGAGACTGTCTATAGGAGGCTGTCTATACTAGAGAGTTTATTATATTGAGGGAGGAGACTGTCTATACTAGAGAGTTTATCATATTGAGGGAAGAGGCTCTCTATACTAGAGAGTTTATCATATTGAGGGAGGAGGCTGTCTATACTAGAGAGTTTATCATATTGAGGGAGGAGGCTGTCTATACTAGAGAGGTTATCATTTTGAGGGAGGAGGCTGTCTATACTAGAGAGTTTATCATATTGAGGGAGGAGGCTGTGTATACTAGAGAGTTTATCATATTGAGGGAGGAGACTGTCTATAGGAGGCTGTCTATACTAGAGAATTTATTATATTGAGGGAGGAGACTGTCTATACTAGAGAGTTTATCATATTGAGGGAAGAGGCTCTCTATACTAGAGAGTTTATCATATTTAGGGAGGAGACTGTCTATAGGAGGCTGTCTATACTAGAGAGGTTATCATTTTGAGGAAGGAGGCTGTCTATAGGATGTTGTCTATACTAGAGAGTTGATCATATTGAGGGAGGTGGCTGTCTATACTAGAGAGGTTATCATTTTGAGGGAGGAAGCTGTCTATATTAGAGAGTTTATCATATTGAGGGAGGAGGCTGTCTATACTAGAGAGTTTATGATATTAAGGGAGGAGGCTGTCTGTAGGAGGCTGTCTGTACTAGAGAGGTTATCATTTTGAGGAAGGAGGCTGTCTATAGGAGGTTGTCTATACTAGAGAGTTTATCATATTGAGGGTGAAGGCTGTATATCCCAGGGAGTTTATCATTTAGTGGGAGGAGGCTGTATATACTAGAGAGGTTATCATTTTGAAGAAGGAGGCTATGTATAGGAGGTTGTCTATATTAGAGAGTCTATCATTTTGAGGGAGGTGGCTGTGTATACTAGAGAGTTTATCATATTGAGGGAGGAGGCTGCCTATACTAGAGAGTCTATCATATTGAGGGAGGAGGCTGCCTATACTAGAGAGTTTATCATATTGAGGGAAGAGGCTCTCTATACTAGAGAGTTTATCATATTGAGGGAGGTGGCTGTGTATACTAGAGAGTTTATCATATTGAGGGAGGAGGCTGCCTATACTAGAGAGTCTATCATATTGAGGGAGGAGGCTGCCTATACTAGAGAGTTTATCATATTGAGGGAAGAGGCTCTCTATACTAGAGAGTTTATCATATTGAGGGAGGAGGCTGTCTATAGGAGGCTGTCTATACTAGAGAGTCTATCATATTGAGGGAGGAGGCTCTCTATACTAGAGAGTTTATCATATTGAGGGAGGAGACTGTCTATACTAAAGAGTTTATCATATTGAGGGAAGAGGCTCTCTATACTAGAGAGTTTATCATATTGACGGAGGAGACTGTCTATAGGAGGCTGTCTATACTAGAGAGTTTATCATATTGAGGGAGGAGGCTCTCTATACTAGAGAGTTTATCATATTGAGGGAAGAGACTGTCTATACTAGAGAGTTGATCATATTGAGGGAGGAGGCTGCCTATACTAGAGAGTCTATCATGTTGAGGGAGGAGGCTCTCTATACTAGAGAGTTCATCATATTGAGGGAGGAGGCTCTCTATACTAGAGAGGTTATCATATTGAGGGAGGAGGTTGTCTATAGGAGGCTGTCTATACTAGAGAGGTTATCATTTTGAAGAAGGAGGCTATGTATAGGAGGTTGTCTATATTAGAGAGTCTATCATTTTGAGGGAGGTGGCTGTGTATACTAGAGAGTTTATCATATTGAGGGAGGAGGCTGCCTATACTAGAGAGTCTATCATATTGAGGGAGGAGGCTGCCTATACTAGAGAGTTTATCATATTGAGGGAAGAGGCTCTCTATACTAGAGAGTTTATCATATTGAGGGAGGAGGCTGTCTATAGGAGGCTGTCTATACTAGAGAGTCTATCATTTTGAGGGAGGAGGCTCTCTATACTAGAGAGTTTATCATATTGAGGGAGGAGACTGTCTATACTAAAGAGTTTATCATATTGAGGGAAGAGGCTCTCTATACTAGAGAGTTTATCATATTGACGGAGGAGACTGTCTATAGGAGGCTGTCTATACTAGAGAGTTTATCATATTGAGGGAGGAGGCTCTCTATACTAGAGAGTTTATCATATTGAGGGAGGAGGCTCTCTATACTAGAGAGTTGATCATATTGAGGGAGGAGGCTGCCTATACTAGAGAGTCTATCATGTTGAGGGAGGAGGCTCTCTATACTAGAGAGTTCATCATATTGAGGGAGGAGGCTCTCTATACTAGAGAGGTTATCATATTGAGGGAGGAGGTTGTCTATAGGAGGCTGTCTATACTAGAGAGGTTATCATTTTGAGGAAGGAGGCTGTCTATAGGAGGTTGTCTATACTAGAGAGTTGATCATATTGAGGGAGGTGGCTGTCTATACTAGAGAGTTTATCATGTTGAGGGAGGAGGCTGTCTATACTAGTGAGGTTATCATTTTGAGGGAGGAGGCTGTTTATACTAGAGAGTTTATCATATTGAGGGAGGAGCCTGTCTATAGGAGGCTGTCTATACTAGAGAGTTTATCATATTGAGGGAGGAGGCTGTCTATACTAATGAGTTTATCATATTGAGAGAGGAGGCTGTCTATACTAGAGAGTTTATCATGTTGAGGGAGGAGGCTGTCTATACTATTGAGTTTACTTTAAGCAGTGCCTTAAAATGTAAGGCAATCAATACTTTTTTTGAATATGTATGTCATTTGAAAGTTAAAAGTGTATTTGAAGTATGAATGGATCATTCATTGTTGATGGAAGCATATCATCTTCATGTGAAAAACCTCAAGTATACTGTTAGTAAGTACACTCTAAGTATACTGTTAGTAAGTACACTCAAAGTATACTGTTAGTAAGTACACTCTACGTATACTGATATACACTCTAAGTATACTGTAAGTACACTCTAAGTCAACTGATGTTCACTCTAAGTAAACTGTTAGTAAGTACACTCTAAGTAAACTGATGTATGCTGAAAGTATACTGTTAGTAAGTACACTCAAAATATACTGTCAGTGTACATTAAAGCCTGAAATGTATACTAATAAGGAAAGTTACAAGCATATATCAATCATACTTGACATATTCTTTAAGAATAGCATAAAGAAAATTTGTTCGATAAGTTGATCTTATAAAACTTATCTTAAAGAGTGACTAATGATCATTAATTAAGTCAAAACACTTTTCATAACATATGAATTTAAAGATAAAAAGAAATGTGGGTTATATTTGCAACACGATTTTAAATTGTGTGTCCTTTGAGTTCTTTGGTTAGTCATATCAAGGTATATTGTATTGTCGAACGTGTTGGAGCCAAAATTAAAAACCCTGAAAATATCCTGTCTACAATTTATGTTTTAACCTCCTTATTTACTTCAGGTCCCTGCTTCATCACTGTAGCAGAAGATATGAAGAATGTTTATGCACCCTACTGTCGTAACCATGATGATGTTATCATGGTCCTGGAGAAGGTTAGTTTCAGTAACCAGTATAATATTTATCTTGTCTGACCATCTTGTCTGTTGTAATACAGAACATTGTTAAGGGATGAAAATACTTTTATCTAGATGGTATTCTCAAGGTTATGGAGTCAAAGGTCAAGGTAAAATTCTATTTTTAAACTGGTAATTATATTGTAAGAATCTGAGGGAAAATTTGGTGAAATTGAACGGGAGGTGAAATGGATCTTTTGACTATAAACATTTTATGAAAAGATGAAGCAATGTTGATGAGAAAATCAACAGACAAATGGGCCAGATTTCATGGTTATAAGTCAGTGGAAGTTTGTGCCTTCTAACTAGGAGGAAGTTTAACAGGAAAAGAATTGAACATCAGTGGATAGATTCTGTGGTTATGATAATGGTAAGCCTACCTAGCTGGAACACATGAGCGTCACAATAAATCACGGAATGGAGATGTTGCTGGTCCATGGTTAGATTAGCTAGCTTAAACGACGGAATGGAGATGTTGATGATCCATGGTTAGGTTAGCTAGCTTAAACGACGGAATGGAGATGTTGGTGGTCCATGGTTAGGTTAGCTAGCTTAAACGACGGAATGGAGACGTTGATGGTCCATGGTTAGGTTAGCTAGCTGAAACACAAGAACGACACAATAAACTAAGGAATGGAAATGTTGCTGGTCCATAGGATTTGACAGAATTTTTGATGTCAGCTCTACAAGCTGTATTTCAGGATTCTTGACATATGTGTTCACATACAATACATGTTGAATGTGTCTGTTGCAGTCAAAAACTAGGTCACTATTACTATAAATGAAAATTAACTCAATTTTAAAAGTCATTTTCACTCAATTTTTCAGCATTCTCATTTACAGTAGAAAGTTATAATTTAGACATTTAAAATAGGCTGTCATGGACAGATTAGCTTGTGAAACAGGCTTAATCACTCTACATTTCTCATACACTGTGAGATGATTTTGGAATTATTAATTATTAATCATTATTTAAAAATATATGTCCTAATTTCTATGACAGAAGCAGACACCTAGTGTGATCTGTTAGGGTCATACACCTTCTGGGACCTGTTAGGATGAGAGACAATTGGGACTCTTGTAAGGTATGGCACCTAGTGGGACTCTGTTAGGGTGAGACCAGTAAGGGTCAGTCACCTAATAGGAACTTAGTGTCAGATACCTAGTTGGCCCTTTTAGGGTAAGACACATATTGGGACCTGCTAGGATCAGACACCTAGAGGGACCTGTTAGTATCAGACACCTAGTGGGATTCTTATATGGTCAGACACCTAGTGGGACCTGTCAGTATCAGACACTTAGAGGGACCTGTTAGTATCAGACACCTAGTGGGATTCTTATATGGTCAGACTCCTAGAGGGACCTGTTAAGATCAGACACCTTGTGGGACCTGTTAAGAGATCAGACACCTACTGGGACCTGTGAAGATCAGACACCTAGAGGGACCTGTTAGTATCAGACACCTAGTTGGACTCAAATATGGTCAGACTCCTAGTGGGACCTCTTAGGATCAGACACCTAGTGGGACCTGTTAGTATCAGACAGCTAGTGGGACTCTATTATGTTCTAGACACTTAGTCGGACCTGTTAATATCAGACACCTAGTAGGACCTGTTAGTATCAGACACCTAGAGGGACCTGTTAGTGTCAGACACCTAGTGGGACCTGTTAGTATCAGACAGCTAGAGGGACCTGTTAGTATCCGACAGCTAGAGGGACCTGTTAGGATCAGACACCTAGTGGGACCTGTTATAATCAGACACCTAGAGGGACCTGTTAGTATCAGTCACCTATTGGGACTCTAATATGGTCAGACACCTAGTGGGACCTGTTAGTGTCAGACATCTAGTGGGACCTGTTAGTGTCAGTCACCTAGAGGGACCTGTTAAGATCAGACATCTAGTGGGACCTGTTAAGAGCAGACACCTTATGGGACCTGTTAAGATCAGACACCTTGTGGGACCTGTTCAGATCAGACACCTAATGGGACTCAAATATGGTCAGACACCCAGTGGGACTTGTTAAGATCAGACACCTAGTGGGACCTGTTAGTGGCAGACATCTAGAGGGACCTGTTAGTATCAGACACCTAGTGGGACCTGTTAAGATCAGACACCAAGAGGGACCTGTTAGTATCAGACTCCTAGTGGGACCTGTTCAGATCAGACACCTAGAGGAACCTGTTAGTATCAGACTCCTAGTGGGACTCAAATATGGTCAGACACCTAGTGGTACCTGTTTAGATCAGACACCTAGTGGGACCTGTTAGTATCAGCCACCTAGAGGGACCTTTTCTATCAATGATGTAAAAAAGTATATTGTGCTTAAGTTGAAGCTATTACCTGTCACTCCATTACATTGCAGTATCATGCCAACCAATCTATAAATGAATACTTTGAAAGAATGCTGGAGATAATGCGAGTACAGACAGTTGTGTTTGATGTGGAGGCGCTTCTTATTAAGCCAGTTCAGCGTATCCTCAAATATCCCCTCTTGCTCAACGAACTTGCTAAGGTGAGGCCATGAAATTAGTGTTTCCCTAAAAGTGTTAAAAACTTCAGAAATCTGTTAAGACTGATTTCCCTCTGAAATGACTGGGTTTCACTCTGAACTGACTGATTTCCCTCTGAAATGACTGGGTTTCACTTTGAACTGACTGATTTCCCTCTGAAATGACTGGGTTTCACTCTGAACTGACTGATTTCCCTCTGAAATGACTGGGTTTCACTCTGAAGTGACTGGTTTCACTCTTAAATGACTGATTTCTCTCTGAAATGACTGGTTTCACTCTGAAATGCTTGATTTATTGCAAAAGTGACTGGTTTCACTCTGAAATGACTGGTTTCACTCTGAAATGACTGATTCCACTCTGAAATGACTGGTTTCACTCTGAAGTGACTGGTTTCACTCTGAAATGCTTGATTACTTTAAAAGTGACAGATTTCACTCTGAAGTAACTGATTTCCATCTGAAATGACTGATTTACTGTTGAAGTGACAGATTTCCCTCTGAAATGACTGATTTACTGTTGAAGTGACTGATTTCACTCTGAAAGGACTGATTTCTCTCTGAAATGACTGGTTTCACTCTGAAATGCTTGATTTATTGCAAAAGTGACTGGTTTCACTCTGAAATGACTGGTTTCACTCTGAAATGACTGATTCCACTCTGAAATGACTGGTTTCACTCTGAAGTGACTGGTTTCACTCTGAAATGCTTGATTTACTTTAAAAGTGACAGATTTCACTCTGAAGTAACTGATTTCCATCTGAAATGACTGATTTACTGTTGAAGTGACTGATTTCACTCTGAAATGACTGATTTCACTCTGAAATGACTGGTTTCACTCTGAAATGCTTGATTTATTGCAAAAGTGACTGGTTTCACTCTGAAATGACTGATTTCACTCTGAAATGACTGGTTTCACTCTGAAATGACTGGTTTCACTCTGAAGTGACTGGTTTCACTCTGAAATGCTTGATTTACTTTAAAAGTGACAGATTTCACTCTGAAGTAACTGATTTCCATCTGAAATGACTGATTTACTGTTGAAGTGACTGATTTCACTCTGAAATGACTGATTTCACTCTGAAAAGACTGGTTTCACTCTGAAATGCTTGATTTATTGCAAAAGTGACTGGTTTCACTCTGAAATGACTGATTTACTGTTGAAGTGACTGATTTACTGTTGAAATGACTGATTTACTGTTGAAGTGACTGGTTTTACTATGAAATGACTGATTTACTGTTGAAGTGACAGATTTCTCTCTGAAATGACTGATTTACTGTTGAAATGACTGATTTACTGTTGAAGTGACTGGTTTTACTATGAAATGACTGATTTACTGTTGAAATGACTGATTTCTCTCTGAAATGACTGATTTACTGTTGAAATGACTGATTTACTGTTGAAGTGACTGGTTTTACTATGAAATGACTGATTTACTGTTGAAGTGACAGATTTCACTCTGAAATGACTGATTTACTGTTGAAGTGACTGATTTCACTCTGAAAGGACTGATTTCACTTTGAAGTGACTGATTTCTCTCTGAAATGACTGATTTACTGTTGAAGTGACTGATTTCTCTCTGAAATGACTGATTTACTGTTGAAGTGACTGACTTCACTCTGAAATGATTGATTTACTGTTGAAGTGACTGATTTCACTCTGAAAGGACTGATTTCTCTCTGAAATGACTGGTTTCACTCTGAAATGCTTGATTTATTGCAAAAGTGACTGGTTTCACTCTGAAATGACTGGTTTCACTCTGAAATGACTGATTCCACTCTGAAATGACTGGTTTCACTCTGAAGTGACTGGTTTCACTCTGAAATGCTTGATTTACTTTAAAAGTGACAGATTTCACTCTGAAGTAACTGATTTCCATCTGAAATGACTGATTTACTGTTGAAGTGACTGATTTCACTCTGAAATGACTGATTTCACTCTGAAATGACTGGTTTCACTCTGAAATGCTTGATTTATTGCAAAAGTGACTGGTTTCACTCTGAAATGACTGATTTCACTCTGAAATGACTGGTTTCACTCTGAAATGACTGGTTTCACTCTGAAGTGACTGGTTTCACTCTGAAATGCTTGATTTACTTTAAAAGTGACAGATTTCACTCTGAAGTAACTGATTTCCATCTGAAATGACTGATTTACTGTTGAAGTGACTGATTTCACTCTGAAATGACTGATTTCACTCTGAAAAGACTGGTTTCACTCTGAAATGCTTGATTTATTGCAAAAGTGACTGGTTTCACTCTGAAATGACTGATTTACTGTTGAAGTGACTGATTTACTGTTGAAGTGACTGATTTCTCTCTGAAATGACTGATTTACTGTTGAAATGACTGATTTACTGTTGAAGTGACAGATTTCACTCTGAAATGACTGATTTACTGTTGAAGTGACTGATTTCACTCTGAAAGGACTGATTTCACTTTGAAGTGACTGATTTCTCTCTGAAATGACTGATTTACTGTTGAAGTGACTGATTTCTCTCTGAAATGACTGATTTACTGTTGAAGTGACTGACTTCACTCTGAAATGATTGATTTACTGTTGAAGTGACTGATTTCTCTCTGAAAGCACTGATTTCACTTTGAAGTGACTGATTTCTCTCTGAAATGACTGATTTACTGTTGAAGTGACAGATTTCACTCTGAAATGATTGATTTACTGTTGAAGTGACTGACTTCACTCTGAAATGATTGATTTACTGTTGAAGTGACTGATTTCACTCTGAAATGACTGATTTACTGTTGAAGTGACTGATTTCTCTCTGAAATGATTGATTTACTGTTGAAGTGACTGATTTCCCACTGAAGTGACTGATTTCCCTCTGAAGTGCATGGTCTCTTATGATTTTTCCCATTGGAATGTAATGACTGGATATGTTAAAAAATTTATTATTTTTTTGGTTCTACAATGAAGAAAGTTTTATTTTTATATTGTGTATCAAGACAACAGAAGAAAATCACAAAGATAAGTTAGAACTACTCAACGCCATCAACAGCATGACAGATGTTGCGACTGCTATCAACGAGTACAAACGCAGGAAAGATTTAGGTAAGTCATGCAGAAACAAAGCCTGAAATTATAATAGTTTTATCCATGTCCATCCATTTTGTTCTGTTTTAATCCCTCTGCACTAGCCCAATTAATCACGAAATATTTGCAAGGCAGAATTAAAGGCATACTAAACAGTACTTTGTTTACTTGTTTGTTTGTACAGTTTATAAGTATAAGAAAGTCACAGATGAAACCCTTGGGGACAAACTAGCTAAACTCAGTCTCCACTCATTGAGGAAAAAGGGAAGTCGCTTTAAGGGTCGATTATCAACCTCAATAGGACTGTCACCACAGGTAAGTAAACACAATTTAGGATGTTTATTTTTGACGCCTGTTTGTTGTCAACTTTAACCTTGCCCATAACTAATACACTGTAAGAAGTAGGGCTTTCATATTTGGCATGTGTGTTCCTTGTGACAAGACCTTTCAGGTGGTTCTCAATTTTTTGACTATGTGACCTTTGACCTACATTTGAAAAAATTTAACATTGGCCATAACTACTGAACTAAACCTGTCGAATCATTACCACAACGAAAACATAAGTGTTTCACAAAGTGTGCATACAATTATCTCAGTTTTAATGTCCCGCTTCAGAATTTCTTGGCAACTGTTTTTTGGCATAGTGTTTCATAAACACATCTTGTTTTTCCATGCAAAAAGTTTATTTGTAGTTAATGTTGATGTTCCAAGACATGTTATATGTCTTTTTTCATTTACTTTGCTTTAAACAGTTTTCATGGTTTTCAGTTTATAACATTTGCATTCAGATAACTATTAAGGCCCATAGGTTTCTTGTCTTATGCCAACTTTTTTTATTCACAGTGCAGGTAAAAAATATATACTATTAAAGACTTAAAAGCTATCGATTGTTTTTTAACCCTTATTTCAATTGTTTGTCAAGATTAGCCTGCTACTTGACGTCCTTGTTTTTTAACCCTTATTTCAATTGTTTATCAAGATTAGCCCGCTACTTGACGTCCTTATTGGTATATTCTTCAAGAATATTTCCCGTAAGAATTCATGGGTAATTCTACATAATTGTTTTTGAGTGCTAGCTAGCAACCTAGGTTGTATATTGTTTTCCTTTGGAGATTGACTGTTTAGATGTCTTGGTTGTCTGTTTTTGAGGTGAAGATCAATTGTTTGGGGTTAAGGTAATCTGATCTGGAGGTAAAGATTGACTGTTTAGATAGTCTGAGGTTTACCACATCATATAGATACAGTGCTCCAGATAGCCTGCGTGAATGCGTTTTCACGCACAATATTTCTAATTTCACGCTAGGAAAAAATAAGATTTGCGTCATTAACCCGTGCGAAATCCGGACTCTGCGTCAATGTCCGGCTCCAATATTACGTAGTTAGAAAACTCAATAATCTAAGTCAAACAGACACTTATCAAGTAAACGAAACTCGTAACAAGCGCTTTCTTGATCGTGATTATAAACCAGTCGCATAGCAAATATGGCGCTGTCAAAAATGTTTACAAATTCAGTGTTACCCTAATATGGAAAAACCCATACACTTGATGAAGGCAGGGGTGAAAAAACCCCTCAATTTATAAAGGTAGGAGTGAAAACCCCACATGTCAAAAAGTTATCTGGAGCACTGTAGATAGTCTGAGGTGTACCACATCATATAGATAGTCTGAGGTTTACCACATCATATAGATAGTCTGAGGTTTACCACATCATATAGATAGTCTGAGGTTTACCACATCATATAGATAGTCTGAGATGTACCACATCATATAGATAGTCTGAGGTTTACCACATCATATAGATAGTCTGAGGTTTACCACATCATATAGATAGTCTGAGGTTTACCACATCATATAGATAGTCTTAGGTTTACCACATCATATAGATAGTCTGAGGTTTACCATATCATATAGATAGTCTTAGGTTTACCACATCATATCCCCAACAATCACCTTTTAATTGGTGACTAAATTTCAGACTAAGGATGATGCTTTTGACAAGGAGGAGAGTCGTTTCAGATTGTTGGAGAAAACAGTGAAGATTTTCGTACGAGATATTCAGGTGTACATGGAGCAAGTTCAGGTAAGTGGTTGTATTGTTCTGTACTTGTCAAGTTCATTCTTATAGTACATTGGACTTTACCCTCCCACCCCACAGCCAATCAGGTTGTACCTCTGTCTGTCCATCTGTTGATGTGACATTGAACCGACTGATCCTTCAAAACTAATGAGTTGATGTCAGCATTACTTGCTGGCTGCAATCCTTATACATTGTAGATATAGATCTATGTAATATATATTAGGTGGAGTTATCTCCCCTTTTCAAAAGTTATGACCTTTTTGGGAGGAGGGTAGTTGAAGTCTTAAAGCCATAACAATGTCAATTATTCAGTTTGTTGACTGAAACAAATGGAACAGAATTGGTGATTCATTACATTGAACTCTGTAAAACCACCCTTACAATCATAATGTTGTGTATCAATACTGAAGAACAGTACAGTACTTCAGTATGTGTTAAAGTGTTTATAAATATATATGATGTATTATGAAGGTTTTTGTGTTGTCAGTAAACAGTTCTGGAACCAGTATGATAAATACATGTATTATCATTGTATAGTTTCGTACATGTTTGCTTGTTTGATGAAGATTCAAAAGGATATGGATTCTATAGCAGCTGTAGTCAAATGAATGTAGTGTGAAAGTTGAGATATGATATAGGAAATATAGATCCAGGGTTGTTTTCTCTCTTGTATAAAAGTGTTAATTTTCTTTTTGTGTTTAATCATCCCAGAGTTATCTGAGAACTATACTGAAAAATCATATATTTTCATGGCGCTTCATTTTCTTGGTTTTTCCAATCAATGCCTTTTTCTGGACATTTGATTTTGTGCAATCTGTGCGTTGTCATGAGTGTGATGTAGAGATGTGTTTTTATCTTCAGGAATCTGTACGTTGTCATGAGAGTGTGATGTAGAGATGTGTTTTTATCTACAGGAATCTGTACCTTGTCATCAGAGTGTGATGTAGAGATGTGTTTTTATCTACAGGAATCTGTACGTTGTCATGAGAGTGTGATGTAGAGATGTGTTTTTATCTACAGGAATCTGTACGTTGTCATGAGAGTGTGATGTAGAGATGTGTTTTTATCTACAGGAATCTGTACGTTGTCATCAGTGTCTGATGTAGAGATGTGTTTTCATCTACAGCAATCTGTACGTTGTCATCAGTGTTTGATGTAGAGATGTGTTTTTATCTTCAGGAATCTGTACGTTGTCGTCAGTGTGTGATGTAGAGATGTGTTTTTATCTACAGCAATCTGTACATTGTCATCAGTGTGATGTAGAGATGTGTTTTTATCTACAGAAATCTGTACGTTGTCATGAGAGTGTGATGTAGAGATGTGTTTTTATCTACAGGAATCTGTACGTTGTCATGAGAGTGTGATGTAGAGATGTGTTTTTAACTACAGCAATCTGTACGTTGTCATAAGTGTGTGATTTAGAGATGTGTTTTTATCTACAGAAATCGGTACATTGTCATCAGTGTCTGATGTAGAGATGTGTTTTTATCTACAGGAATCTGTACGTTGTCATGAGAGTGTGATGTAGAGATGTGTTTTTATCTACAGGAATCTGTACGTTGTCATCAGTGTCTGATGTAGAGATGTGTTTTCATCTACAGGAATCTGTACGTTGTCATCAGTGTCTGATGTAGAGATGTGTTTTTATCTACAGGAATCTGTACGTTGTCATCAGTGTCTGATGTAGAGATGTGTTTTTATCTACAGGAATCTGTACGTTGTCGTCAGTGTGTGATGTAGAGATGTGTTTTTATCTACAGGAATCTGTACGTTGTCATCAGAGTGTGATGTAGAGATGTGTTTTTATCTACAGGAATCTGTACGTTGTCATCAATGTGTGATGTAGAGATGTGTTTTTATCTACAGCAATCTGTACGTTGTCATCAGTGTCTGATGTAGAGATGTGTTTTTATCTCCAGGAATCTGTACGTTGTCGTCAGTGTGTGATGTAGAGATGTGTTTTTATCTACAGGAATCTGTACGTTGTCATGAGAGTGTGATGTAGAGATGTGTTTTTATCTACAGCAATCTGTACGTTGTCATAAGTGTGTGATTTAGAGATGTGTTTTTATCTACAGGAATCGGTACATTCTCATCAGTGTCTGATGTAGAGATGTGTTTTTATCTACAGGAATCTGTACGTTGTCATGAGAGTGTGATGTAGAGATGTGTTTTTATCTACAACAATCTGTACGTTGTCATCAGTGTCTGATGTTGAGATGTGTTTTTATCTACAGGAATCTGTACGTTGTCATCAGTGTCTGATGTAGAGATGTGTTTTTATCTACAACAATCTGTACCTTATCATCAGAGTGTAATGTAGAGATGTGTTTTTATCTACAGGAATCTGTACCTTGTCATCAGAGTGTAATGTAGAGATGTGTTTTTATCTACAGGAATCTGTACGTTGTCATCAGTGTGTGATTTAGAGATGTGTTTTTATCTACAGAAATCGGTACATTGTCATCAGTGTCTGATGTAGAGATGTGTTTTTATCTACAGCAATCTGTACGTTGTCATCAGAGTGTGATGTAGAGATGTGTTTTTATCTACAGGAATCTGTACGTTGTCATCAATGTGTGATGTAGAGATGTGTTTTTATCTACAGGAATCTGTACGTTGTCATCAGAGTGTGATGTAGAGATGTGTTTTTATCTACAGGAATCTGTACGTTGTCATCAGAGTGTGATGTAGAGATGTGTTTTTATCTACAGGAATCTGTACGTTGTCATCAGTGTGTGATGTAGAGATGTGTTTTTATCTACAGGAATCTGTACGTTGTCATCAGAGTGTGATGTAGAGAGATGTGTTTTTATCTACAGAAATCTGTACGTTGTCATCAATGTGTGATGTAGAGATGTGTTTTTATCTATAGGAATCTGTACGTTGTCATCAATGTCTGATGTAGAGATGTGTTTTTATCTACAGCAATCTGTACGTTGTCATCAGTGTCTGATGTAGAGATGTGTTTTTATCTACAGGAATCTGTACGTTGTCGTCAGTGTGTGATGTAGAGATGTGTTTTTATCTACAGGAATCTGTACGTTGTCATCAGTGTGATGTAGAGATGTGTTTTTATCTACAGGAATCTGTACGTTGTCATGAGAGTGTGATGTAGAGATGTGTTTTTATCTACAGGAATCTGTACGTTGTCATCAATGTGTGATGTAGAGATGTGTTTTTATCTACAGGAATCTGTACGTTGTCATCAGTGTCTGATGTAGAGATGTGTTTTTATCTACAGCAATCTGTACGTTGTCATCAGTGTCTGATGTAGAGATGTGTTTTTTAGGGCCCCGCATCGCGATGCGGGTGCCCTATAGTAATCACCTTGTCCGTCTGTCCGTCTGTCTGTCTGTCCGTCTGTCCGTCCGTTTCCCTGTCCGTCGATCCATATATCTGTCCATCTGTCCATTTTCATTGGATTTTGATGAAAGTTGCTTTCAATACTTGACACCTGTCCATATATTTCTTAATATTAAGAAACTCAATCATAAGGGGTAGGTATTATGCGGGGCCCTTCCTCGACAATGGTCTAGTATCTACAGGAATCTGTACGTTGTCGTCAGTGTGTGATGTAGAGATGTGTTTTTATCTACAGGAATCTGTACGTTGTCATGAGAGTGTGATGTAGAGATGTGTTTTTATCTACAGGAATCTGTACGTTGTCATCAGTGTGTGATGTAGAGATGTGTTTTCATCTACAGGAATCTGTACGTTGTCATCAGTGTCTGATGTAGAGATGTGTTTTTATCTACAGGAATCTGTACGTTGTCATCAGTGTCTGATGTAGAGATGTGTTTTTATCTACAGGAATCTGTACGTTGTCGTCAGAGTGTGATGTAGAGATGTGTTTTTATCTATAGGAATCTGTACGTTGTCATCAATGTGTGATGTAGAGATGTGTTTTTATCTACAGCAATCTGTACGTTGTCATCAGTGTCTGATGTAGAGATGTGTTTTTATCTCCAGGAATCTGTACGTTGTCGTCAGTGTGTGATGTAGAGATGTGTTTTTATCTACAGGAATCTGTACGTTGTCATGAGAGTGTGATGTAGAGATGTGTTTTTATCTACAGCAATCTGTACGTTGTCATAAGTGTGTGATTTAGAGATGTGTTTTTATCTACAGAATCGGTACATTGTCATCAGTGTCTGATGTAGAGATGTGTTTTTATCTACAGGAATCTGTACGTTGTCATGAGAGTGTGATGTAGAGATGTGTTTTTATCTACAGAAATCGGTACATTGTCATCAGTGTCTGATGTAGAGATGTGTTTTTATTCTACAAGAATCTATACCTTGTCATCAGAGTGTGATGTAGAGATGTGTTTTTATCTATAGGAATCTGTACGTTGTCATCAGTGTGTGATGTAGAGATGTGTTTTTATCTACAGGAATCTGTACGTTGTCATCAGTGTGTGATGTAGAGATGTGTTTTTATCTACAGGAATCTGTACGTTGTCATCAGAGTGTGATGTAGAGATGTGTTTTTATCTACAGGAATCTGTACGTTGTCATCAGTGTCTGATGTAGAGATGTGTTTTTATCTACAGGAATCTGTACGTTGTCATCAGAGTGTGATGTAGAGATGTGTTTTTATCTACAGAAATCTGTACGTTGTCATCAATGTGTGATGTAGAGATGTGTTTTTATCTATAGGAATCTGTACGTTGTCATCAATGTCTGATGTAGAGATGTGTTTTTATCTACAGCAATCTGTACGTTGTCATCAGTGTCTGATGTAGAGATGTGTTTTTATCTACAGGAATCTGTACGTTGTCGTCAGTGTGTGATGTAGAGATGTGTTTTTATCTACAGGAATCTGTACGTTGTCATCAGTGTGATGTAGAGATGTGTTTTTATCTACAGGAATCTGTACGTTGTCATGAGAGTGTGATGTAGAGATGTGTTTTTATCTACAGGAATCTGTAAGTTGTCATCAATGTGTGATGTAGAGATGTGTTTTTATCTACAGGAATCTGTACGTTGTCATCAGAGTGTGATGTAGAGATGTGTTTTTATCTACAGCAATCTGTACGTTGTCATCAGTGTCTGATGTAGAGATGTGTTTTTATCTTCATGAATATGTTCGTTGTCATCAGTGTCTGATGTAGAGATGTGTTTTAGTGCCCCGCATATGCGGGTACTAGTAATCACCTTGTCCGTCTGTCCGTCTGTCTGTCTGTCCGTCTGTCCGTCCGTTTCCCTGTCCGTCGATCCATATATCTGTCCATCTGTCCATTTTCATTGGATTTTGATGAAAGTTGCTTTCAATACTTGACACCTGTCCATATATTTCTTAATATTAAGAAACTCAATCATAAGGGGTAGGTATCATAAGTGTGTGATGTAGAGATGTGTATGCGGGGCCCTTCCTCGACAATGGTCTATGTGTATCTACAGGAATCTGTACGTTGTCGTCAGTGTGTGATGTAGAGATGTGTTTTTATCTACAGGAATCTGTACGTTGTCATGAGAGTGTGATGTAGAGATGTGTTTTTATCTACAGCAATCTGTACGTTGTCATAAGTGTGTGATTTAGAGATGTGTTTTTATCTACAGAAATCGGTACGTTGTCATCAGTGTCTGATGTAGAGATGTGTTTTTATCTACAACAATCTGTACCTTGTCATCAGAGTGTAATGTAGAGATGTGTTTTTATCTACAGGAATCTGTACCTGGTCATCAGAGTGTAATGTAGAGATGTGTTTTTTTCTACAGGAATCTGTACGTTGTCATCAGTGTGTGATTTAGAGATGTGTTTTTATCTACAGAAATCGGTACATTGTCATCAGTGTCTGATGTAGAGATGTGTTTTTATCTACAGGAATCTGTACGTTGTCATGAGAGTGTGATGTAGAGATGTGTTTTTATCTACAGGAATCTGTATGTTGTCATCAGTGTCTGATGTAGAGATGTGTTTTCATCTACAGCAATCTGTACGTTGTCATCAGTGTCTGATGTAGAGATGTGTTTTTATCTACAGGAATCTGTACGTTGTCGTCAGTGTGTGATGTAGAGATGTGTTTTTATCTACAGGAATCTGTACATTGTCATCAATGTGTGATGTAGAGATGTGTTTTTATCTACAGGAATCTGTACGTTGTCATCAATGTGTGATGTAGAGATGTGTTTTTATCTACAGGAATCTGTACATTGTCATCAGAGTGTGATGTAGAGATGTGTTTTTATCTACAGCAATCTGTACGTTGTCATCAGTGTGTGATGTAGAGATGTGTTTTTATCTACAGAAATCTGTACATTGTCATCAGTGTCTGATGTAGAGATGTGTTTTTATCTACAGGAATCTGTACGTTGTCATCAGTTCCTGATGTAGAGATGTGTTTTTATCTACAGGAATCTGTACATTGTCATCAGAGTGTGATGTAGAAATGTGTTTTTATCTACAGCAATCTGTAAGTTGTCATCAATGTGTGATGTAGAGATGTGTTTTTATCTACAGGAATCTGTACGTTGTCATCAGTGTCTGATGTAGAGATGTGTTTTTATCTACAGCAATCTGTACGTTGTCATCAGTGTCTGATGTAGAGATGTGTTTTTATCTACAGGAATCTGTACGTTGTCATCAGTGTCTGATGTAGAGCTGTGTTTTCATCTACAGCAATCTGTACGTTGTCATCAGTGTCTGATGTAGAGATGTGTTTTTATCTACAGGAATATGTACGTTGTCGTCAGTGTGTGATTTAGAGATGTGTTTTTATCTACAGGAATCTGTACATTGTCATCAGTGTGATGTAGAGATGTGTTTTTATCTACAGAAATCTGTACGTTGTCATGAGAGTGTGATGTAGAGATGTGTTTTTATCTACAACAATCTGTACCTTGTCATCAGAGTGTAATGTAGAGATGTGTTTTTTTCTACAGGAATCTGTACGTTGTCATCAGTGTGTGATTTAGAGATGTGTTTTTATCTACAGAAATAGGTACATTGTCATCAGTGTCTGATGTAGAGATGTGTTTTTATCTACAGGAATCTGTACGTTGTCATGAGAATGTGATGTAGAGATATGTTTTTATCTACAGAAATCTGTACATTGTCATCAGTGTCTGATGTAGAGATGTGTTTTTATCTACAGGAATCTGTATGTTGTCATGAGAGTGTGATGTAGAGATGTGTTTTTATCTACAGGAATCTGTACATTGTCATGAAAGTGTGGTGTAGAGATGTGTTTTTATCTACAGGAATCTGTATGTTGTCATGAGAGTGTGATGTAGAGATGTGTTTTTATCTACAGGAATCTGTACGTTGTCATCAATGTGTGATGTAGAGATGTGTTTTTATCTACAGGAATCTGTACGTTGTCATCAGTGTCTGATGTAGAGATGTGTTTTTATCTACAGCAATCTGTACGTTGTCATCAGTGTCTGATGTAGAAATGTGTTTTTATCTACAGCAATCTGTAAGTTGTCATCAATGTGTGATGTAGAGATGTGTTTTTATCTACAGGAATCTGTACATTGTCATCAGTGTCTGATGTAGAGATGTGTTTTTATCTACAGAAATCTGTACGTTGTCATGAGAGTGTGATGTAGAGATGTGTTTTTATCTACATGTAGAATGTGTACGTTGTCGTTGTCATGAGAGTGTGATGTAGAGATGTGAGCAATGTGTTTTGTCATGAGAGTGTGATGTAGAGATGTGTTTTCATCTACAGGAATCTGTACATTGTTATGAGAGTGTGGTGTAGAGATGTGTTTTTATCTACAGAAATCTGTACATTGTCATCAGTGTCTGATGTAGAGATGTGTTTTTATCTACAGGAATCTGTACGTTGTCATGAGAGTGTGATGTAGAGATGTGTTTTTATCTACAGGAATCTGTACGTTGTCATCAGAGTGTAATGTAGAGATGTGTTTTTATCTACAGGAATCTGTACGTTGTCATCAGAGTGTGATGTAGAGATGTGTTTTTATCTACAGAAATCTGTACGTTGTCATGAGAGTGTGATGTAGAGATGTGTTTTTATCTACAGCAATCTGTACGTTGTCATCAGTGTGTGATGTAGAGATGTGTTTTTATCTACAGGAATCTGTATATTTTCATCAGTGTCTGATGTAGAGATGTGTTTTTATCTACAGGAATCTGTACGTTGTCATCAGTGTGTGATTTAGAGATGTGTTTTTATCTACAGCAATCTTTATTTTGTCATAAGTGTGTGATTTAGAGATGTGTTTTTATCTAGAGGAATCTGTACGTTGTCATGAGAGTGTGATGTAGAGATGTGTTTTTATCTACAGGAATCTTTACGTTGTCATGAGAGTGTGATGTAGAGATGTGTTTTTATCTACAGGAATCTGTACGTTGTCATCAGTGTCTGATGTAGAGATGTGTTTTTATCTACAGCAATCTGTACGTTGTCATCAGTGTCTGATGTAGAGATGTGTTTTGATCTGCAACAATTTGTACGTTGTCATAAGTGTCTGATGTAGAGATGTGTTTTTATCTACAGGAATCTGTACGTTGTCGTCAGTGTGTGATGTAGAGATGTGTTTTTATCTACAACAATCTGTACGTTGTCATCAGTATGTGATCTAGAGATGTGTTGTTATCTACAGGAATCTGTACGTTGTTATCAGTATATGATGTAGAGATGTGTTGTTATCTCCAGGAATCTGTACGTTGTCATCAGAGTGTGATGTAGAGATGTGTTCTTATCTACAGGAATATGAGATGTGTTTTTATCTACAGGAATCTGTACGTTGTCATCAGTGTGTGGTAGTAGATGTAGAGGACTTCTATGAAGACATCCCAAATGTTGTGATGATAGAGAAATACAAACACGTACACAGTCTCATTGATAGCCAGTTCCTGCCTGAATTTGTAAGTACATTCTGGTTCAATTGCCCATAAGTACTAAGGTGATCCAGATCTTATGCTGATATAGATTAAAATCTGGGTATCGAGATTCCTCAGGAACTAATGTTGATGTAAATTAAGATGACTGATATCAAGATCCATCAGAATCTCTTATGTTAGGGATTAGGACAGTCAAAACAATTATATTTCTTGGTAATTGACAGGTTGAAAGTGTAACAGATCAAGTGATCTGTCCTTTGGAGCGACTGGTTCAGTTTTTCCTGGCACCAAACAAAGTAATACAGAAACGATATGACAAGTTATTGGACTACGACTCCATGTTACGCAAGTCAAAGGATGACAAGGTAAGTGATCATGTCTCTTCTTATTAGCTTCAGAGTGGCAATATAGCAAAATGTAGGAGAGCATTCTGAAGCATTCTTGGCTGAAGGGGAAGCAATTTTTATACAATATTTTCCGGGTTATAAGCCGCAGCTTTTTTCCTTGGCAGTTGGGTGAACTGCTTATATACCAGTGTGGCTTATATGTGGATGAAAAAAAATTGTCAGAATGAAGAAAAAAAATAATGAAGAGTATTGTCAAACATGGATTCAGTACTGGTATGTATTGTCAAACATGGATTCAGTACTGGTATGTATTGGCAAACATGGATTCAGTACTGGTATGTATTGGCAAACATGGATTCAGTACTGGTATGTATTGTCAAACATGGATTCAGTACTGTTATGTATTGTCGGAACATGGATTCAGTACTGTTATGTATTGTCGGAACATGGATTCAGTACTGTTATGTATTGTCAAACATGGATTCAGTACTGGTATGTATTGTCAAACATGGATTCAGTACTGGTATGTATTGGCACACATGGATTCAGTACTGGTATGTATAGGCAAACATGGATTCAGTACTGGTATGTATTGTCAAACATGGATTCAGTACTGGTATGTATTGTCAAACATGGATTCAGTACTGTTATGTATTGTCAAACATGGATTCAGTACTGGTATGTATTGTCGGAACATGGATTTAGTACTGGTATGTATTGTCAAACATGGATTCAGTACTGTTATGTATTGTCGGAACATGGATTCAGTACTGTTATGTATTGTCAAACATGGATTCAGTACTGTTATGTATTGTCAAACATGGATTCAGTACTGTTATGTATTGTCAAACATGGATTCAGTACTGTTATGTATTGTCAAACATGGATTCAGTACTGTTATGTATTGTCAGAACATGGATTCAGTACTGTTATGTATTGTCAAACATGGATTCAGTACTGGTATGTATTGTCAAAAATGGATTCAGTACTGGTATGTATTGTCAAACATGGATTCAGTACTGTTATGTATTGTCAAACATGGATTCAGTACTGTTATGTATTGTCGGAACATGGATTCAGTACTGTTATGTATTGTCAAACATGGATTCAGTACTGTTATGTATTGTCAAACATGGATTCAGTACTGGTATGTATTGTCAAACATGGATTCAGTACTGGTATGTATTGTTGGAACATGGATTCAGTACTGGTATGTATTGTCGGAACATAGATTCAGTACTGGTATGTATTGTCAAACATGGATTCAGTACTTGTATGTATTGTCGGAACATGGATTCAGTACTGTTATGTATTGTCGGAACATGGATTCAGTACTGGTATGTATTGTCAAACATGGATTCAGTACTGGTATGTATTGTTGGAACATGGATTCAGTACTGTTATGTATTGTCGGAACATGGATTCAGTACTGGTATGTATTGTCAAACATGGATTCAGTACTGTTATGTATTGTCAAACATGGATTCAGTACTGTTATGTATTGTCGGAACATGGATTCAGTACTGTTATGTATTGTCAAACATGGATTCAGTACTGTTATGTATTGTCAAACATGGATTCAGAACTGTTATGTATTGTCGGAACATGGATTCAGTACTGTTATGTATTGTCAAACATGGATTCAGTACTGTTATGTATTGTCAAACATGGATTCAGTACTGTTATGTATTGTCAAACATGGATTCAGTACTGTTATGTATTGTCAAACATGGATTCAGTACTGTTATGTATTGTCAAACATGGATTCAGTACTGTTATGTATTGTCAAACATGGATTCAGTACTGTTATGTATTGTCAAACATGGATTCAGTACTGGTATGTATTGTCAAACATGGATTCAGTACTGGTATGTATGTATTGTCAAACATGGATTCAGTACTGTTATGTATTGTCAAACATGGATTCAGTACTGTTATGTATTGTCAAACATGGATTCAGTACTGTTATGTATTGTCAAACATGGATTCAGTACTGGTATGTATTGTCAAACATGGATTCAGTACTGGTATGTATTGTTGGAACATGGATTCAGTACTGGTATGTATGGTCAAACATGGATTCAGTACTGGTATGTATTGTCAAACATGGATTCAGTACTGTTATGTATTGTCAAACATGGATTCAGTACTGGTATGTATTGTCAAACATGGATTCAGTACTGTTATGTATTGTCAAACATGGATTCAGTACTGTTATGTATTGTCAAACATGGATTCAGTACTGTTATGTATTGTCAAACATGGATTCAGTACTGTTATGTATTGTCAAACATGGATTCAGTACTGGTATGTATTGTCGGAACATGGATTCAGTACTGGTATGTATTGTCGGAACATGGATTCAGTACTGTTATGTATTGTCAAACATGGATTCAGTACTGGTATGTATTGTCAAACATGGATTCAGTACTGGTATGTATTGTCGGAACATGGATTCAGTACTGGTATGTATTGTCAAATATGGATTCAGTACTGTTATGTATTGTCAAACATGGATTCAGTACTGTTATGTATTGTCGGAACATGGATTCAGTACTGTTATGTATTGTCAAACATAGATTCAGTACTGGTATGTATTGTCAAACATGGATTCAGTACTGGTATGTATTGTCAAACATGGATTCAGTACTGTTATGTATTGTCAAACATGGATTCAGTACTGGTATGTATTGTCAAACATGGATTCAGTACTGTTATGTATTGTCAAACATGGATTCAGTATGTATATGTATTGTCAAACATGGATTCAGTACTGTTATGTATTGTCAAACATAGATTCAGTACTGGTATGTATTGTCAAACATGGATTCAGTACTGGTATGTATTGTCAAACATGGATTCAGTACTGTTATGTATTGTCAAACATGGATTCAGTACTGGTATGTATTGTCGGAACATGGATTCAGTACTGGTATGTATTGTCAAACATGGATTCAGTACTGGTATGTATTGTCAAACATGGATTCAGTACTGGTATGTATTGTCGGAACATGGATTCAGTACTGGTATGTATTGTCGGAACATGGATTCAGTACTGTTATGTATTGTCAAACATGGATTCAGTACTGGTATGTATTGTCGGAACATGGATTCAGTACTGGTATGTATTGTCGGAACATGGATTCAGTACTGTTATGTATTGTCAAACATGGATTCAGTACTGGTATGTATTGTCGGAACATGGATTCAGTACTGGTATGTATTGTCGGAACATGGATTCAGTACTGGTATGTATTGTCAAATATGGATTCAGTACTGGTATGTATTGTCAAACATGGATTCAGTACTGTTATGTATTGTCAAACATGGATTCAGTACTGTTATGTATTTAGGAACGTAGATTCAGTACTGGTATGTATTGTCAAACATGGATTCAGTACTGGTATGTATGTCAAACATGGATTCAGTACTGTTATGTATTGTCAAACATGGATTCAGTACTGTTATGTATTGTCAAACATGGATTCAGTACTGTTATGTATTGTCAAACATGGATTCAGTACTGTTATGTATTGTCAAACATGGATTCAGTACTGTTATGTATTGTCAAACATGGATTCAGTACTGTTATGTATTGTCAAACATGGATTCAGTACTGTTATGTATTGTCAAACATGGATTCAGTACTGTTATGTATTGTCAAACATGGATTCAGTACTGTTATGTATTGTCAAACATGGATTCAGTACTGTATGTATGTATTGTCAAACATGGATTCAGTACTGTTATGTATTGTCAAACATGGATTCAGTACTGTTATGTATTGTCAAACATGGATTCAGTACTGGTATGTATTGTCAAACATGGATTGTGGTATGTATTGTCAAACATGGATTCAGTACTGGTATGTATTGTCAAACATGGATTCAGTACTGTTATGTATTGTCAAACATGGATTCAGTACTGGTATGTATTGTCAAACATGGATTCAGTACTGTTATGTATTGTCAAACATGGATTCAGTACTGGTATGTGTTGTCGGAACATAGATTCAGTACTGGTATGTATTGTCATACATGGTTTAAGTAAGGATTCAGTACTGGTATGTATTGTCAAACATGGATTCAGTACTGGTATGTATTGTCGGAACATGGATTCAGTACTGTTATGTATTGTCAAACATGGATTCAGTACTGGTATGTATTGTCAAAAATGGATTCAGTACTGGTATGTATTGTCAAACATGGATTAAGTAAGGGTATGTATTGTCAAACATGGATTGTACTGGTATGTATTGTCAAACATGGATTCAGTACTGGTATGTATTGTCAAACATGGATTCAGTACTGTTATGTATTGTCAAACATGGATTCAGTACTGGTATGTATTGTCGGAACATGGATTCAGTACTGGTATGTATTGTCGGAACATGGACATGGATTCAGTACAGTACTGTATGTATTGTCAAACATGGATTCAGTACTGGTATGTATTGTCGGAACATGGATTCAGTACTGGTATGTATTGTCAAAAATGGATTCAGTACTGGTATGTATTGTCAAACATGGATTCAGTACTGTTATGTATTGTCAAACATGGATTCAGTACTGTTATGTATTGTCAAACATGGATTCAGTACTGTTATGTATTGTCAAACATGGATTCAGTACTGTTATGTATTGTCAAACATGGATTCAGTACTGTTATGTATTGTCAAACATGGATTCAGTACTGGTATGTATTGTCAAACATGGATTCAGTACTGGTATGTATTGTCAAACATGGATTCAGTACTGGTATGTATTGTCAAACATGGATTCAGTACTGGTATGTGTTGTCGGAACATAGATTCAGTACTGGTATGTATTGTCAAACATGGATTCAGTACTGGTATGTATTGTCGGAACATGGATTCAGTACTGGTGTATGTGGATTCAGTACTGTTATGTAACATGGATTCAGTACTGTTATGTATTGTCAAACATGGATTCAGTACTGTTATGTATTGTCAAACATGGATTCAGTACTGTTATGTATTGTCAAACATGGATTCAGTA